TTAAGACTGGGATGCTAGCTAGGTGCTTCTTGAGCTCGTCAAACGCGATCTAGCACTCTACAGTGCATTCAACACCTTTGTTTTTTACGGCCTTAAAGAAGGGCAAGCAGCGGTCTGCGGACTTGGACATGAAGCGGCTCAGGGCGGCTAGCCGGCCGTTCAACTTCTGAACCTCCTTCGACTTTCGAGGTGGTCTCATTTTTAGGATGGCTTTGATTTTGTCTGGGTTGGCCTCAATGCCTTGTCGGTTGATGATGTACCCTAGGAATTTACCCGAGCTGACACCGAAGACACACTTATTCGGATTCAACTTCATATTAAATCTATGCAAGATTTCAAAGACTGAGTGTAAATCTTGTATTAATTCTTGTGAAAATTGGTTTTGACGACCATGTCGTCTACATAACACTCTACTTTTTTGCCAACAAGTGGTTCGAACAACTTATTTACAAGTCTTTGAAAAGTAGCCCCAGCGTTCTTCTGCCTGAAGGGCGTGACCTTGTAGCAGTACAGGTCGAACTCGGTTTTCTCCTCATTAGCTGGGTCCATTTTTATTTGGTTATAGCCCGAATAGGCGTCTAAGAAGCTCAACAACTTGTTCCCCGAGGTCGCGTCAATTAGACCGTCGATCCTGGGAAGTGGGAAGCAATCCTTTGGACATGCTCGGTTCAGGTCGGTGTAGTCGACGCACATGCACCACTTACCGTTTGCCTTTTTCACCAGAACGGGGTTGGCCACCCAACTCGGGTAATAGACTTCCCTGATAAAATCTGCTGCAAGGAGTTTCCCGACCTCCTCGTCGACTGCCCTCCATCGCTCCGGGGCTAGGTTGCGTTTCTTCTACCTAACGGGCCTAACTACAGGATCGGTATTAAATCTGTGAGTGATAATGTTGGGGTCTATGCCGGGAATTTCTGCCGCTGACCATGCAAAAACGTCTAAATTTTTGAGTAAGAAGCTTACCAGATGAGACCGTAGGGGCTCCTCAATAGAAGCGCCGATCTGAAGTACCCGAGCTGGATCATCTGTCGAAGTCGGGATGGGGATGGTCTCCTCAGTGGGTGTAGCTCGCTCTGCGAACTGCTCTGCAGGTCATCCTAGCTCGAGGTCGTCAGCTACCTTGGCCTTTCCTTTGAAGGCGGCTACGTAACATTTGTGGGACTCGAGCTAATCGCCTCGTGCCACTCTGACTCCAAATTCTGTAGGGAACTTCATCGCCAAGTGGTAGGTGGAGACTACCGCTCGCAGGACGTGAGTGATGGGCCAACCTACTATTGCGTTGTATGGAGAGGGGGTCGCGACCACCAGGAACTCGTGATTGAGCCTTACCACACTGGGCCAGGTACCAACCTCCACCGGCACGGTGACTTTCCCCAAAGGCCTGACCTCCTCGCCGCTGAATCCCACCAGTGGTGTGCATGCGGGCATCAGGTCGCTTTCTAGGAGTTGAAGCTGATCGAAGGCTGCCTTGAAGAGGATATCCGTCGAACTGCCCGAGTCTACTAGGACGCGCTTGACTTCAAAGTCGTGGATCCTAATCTTGATGACGAGCGCATCATCGTGGGGGTAGTGGACCCCTCGCGCATCATCTTCAGTGAAGAAGATCGGTTCCTCCACCCTTGGCCGCTTTGGGGGGTTTAGTTCTTCTCTGGCAGCTTCGTGGGCTGATGACCGAGCTGTTGCCGAAGTGCAGCCCGCGACAATCGATCCTTCAACGATTAGGTGGATGGTTGCCCGGACTGGCCTCTTGTTTGGAGGCTACCTCTGCGGCTGCTCTGCCTGTCTGCTGAACTCGGGGGCTTCTTTATTCTGCTCCCCGTGGTGACCTGCCTTATTATTATTGCTTTGCTGTAAGAAATTCCTCAAATATCCGCGACGGATGAGTTCTTCTATCTCATCGCGGAGATTCTTACAACTTTCGGTACTATGACCGTGATCTCTATGGAAATTACAATACAAGGTTTTGTTCCTAACATTAGGATCGACCTTGAGCCGAGATGGCCAGTTTACATACGGGGCATCCTTGACTGCCATGAGGATCTCGACCCGTTTTGTGTTGAGGGGCGCAAACACCCTTTTTGCTGCCGGAGATCGGAAAGGTTGGACTGGCTTTGCCCCCGAGCTTGGTCCTTCTTCTTCTTGTAGTCACTTGGAGCCGGGGGTTCCGGTTCCCTTTTTCTTTTCTTGAGGGAGTGCTCGCCCTTCTGATTGATCTCCTCCTTTGTCCCTATGAACCGATTTGCGAGCTCGAGGAACTCGGTCACGGTCTTGGGTTGGTTGACGACCACGTGCCATTTAAATTCTTTGTGGGTGATGCCCCGTTTGGCCGCGGTGAGCCGAACTGCAGGGTCCAGGTCGGGTATCTGCAGGCTAGCGTCATTAAATCGCTTGATGTAGTTCCGGATGGACTCCCCCTCCCTCTGGACTATGCTGAGGAGGCTTTCTTGAGTCCTCAGGCATCTCTTACTGGCGACGAAGTGGGAGGTGAAGACCCGCACGAACTGCGCCCAACTCCTTATTGAGCCCGACGAGAGGTTTCGGTACAAGGTCCGGGCTACTCCTTTGAATGTAGTGGAGAAGGCCACGCACATGCAAGATTCACTCGCCCTGGCCAGATGCATCTGGGACTGGAAGGCGTTGACGTGGTCGTTGGGGTCGAAGGACCCGTCGTACTTGTCCAACGGTGGGAGCTTGAAGTCCCTGGGCATGGGGAGTGTGAGGAGCTCCGGAGACAGAGGAGAGGGGATTGAGAGAAGTGGCGTAACTCTTACCTCTCCCGAACTTATTTCTATTTTTCCCTTGAGCTCGAGCAGGTTGTGGGTGGTGGTAGTTCGGTGAGCCCTGCGGTGTCTCCGTTGCTTCTTGGCCGGCTCGACGTTAGTGTTGTTGGCCTCAGTATTGCTGAACTTGATGGGCCCAGGAGGAGGCAGGGATGGCTGTCGGTAGTTGCGGATAGAAGGACCTTGTTCAAGGTCATCGGCTAGCACTTCAAACCTGATCTCCGCAAGTAGAGGCTCGAACTGCGAGTGCTGAGGTGACGTCGGCCTATCCGGATGGGAAGCCCCCAACCTGACTGCGGGCCGTGTGACGGGGGTAGGGAGTCTTCCCTTCTTTCCATGAGATGATGCCGAAGTCTCTCCACGGCGGGAAGGGAGTTCACTGCAGCGATGAGGCTTGGTTGGCTGTGCAGCCGGATGCCGGGGAGGGAGTGACAGGAATTGTTGCTGGTATTGATACTGGGATACTTGGTGCAACACTTGCTGCTGATGGAACTGAAGTTGTTGAAACTGCTGCATCTGGGCCTGCATGGTCCGCATGCACTGCATCAGGTCTTCAAGTTGACCTTGGCCGGCCACCGGAGGGGGGATGGTAGGTTTGGCGAAGGTCGTCCCGACTGTAGGGGGCAGCGGAACAGTCACGGGTGAACTGCCCGATGCAGACGGTGGGCAGTTGGAGTTGCTTCTCTGGGGTGTTGTTCCGGCATCCGGAGTTGCTGGAAGAAGCCTTGGGTGTCGGTGCTGATGAGTTAAATAGAGGGAAGTTTCACAGAAGTTAGAGGGAGGCTTTTTGAAGCGCTTCCCACAGACGGCGCCAAATGATGCTGCACGATCTGGGCACTCCTAGTTGGCTGTGACTTGGCTTCTGGCTGGAGCGGACGACACCTGAGAGGAAGGGGAAGGCAAAGGTTTCCCGGGGAGTTCTCCCGGTGGGAACACTCCGATGGCTAAGTTAGAATTGGAGAAATCTCAAAGAAAGAACAGAGAGTAAGAGTGCTGAAAGTGCTTAAGCTTTAATACCTTTGCTTCGTGAGGATTGGGGTTCTTTTATGTCAGAGCTCGGTCACACCTGACATAACCGCTTCTGCCCTAGCCATTACTGCCAGGGCAGGTGTGGCAGGTGTAGGTTGCGGCTACAGACTGCTATTGCCAGGTACGGACTCAACAGATGCGTCACGCTTTTCAGAGACGGCAAACAAAACGCCGCCTAGCAAGCAGGACGCCGCCTGGCAAGGGATCAGAACCCTGCCACCAGATCCGGCAAGTACGGATGTCTGGCAGGTACGGATATCCGGCAGGTTTCCCTGCAGCCTGCCGAGCTATTGTATGCCGGACCACCTGGGGCAGGTTTGTCTCGGCACCGAGGTGCCTGCATTGGAGGAAGTGCTGCCCCGAGGTGCTTCTCCCTCGGGACACTTAGCCAAAAACCGGGGTGCTCCCTTCTTTGGAAGGGAGAGCTCGAAACCCCTTTAGGAGGAGCTTGAGTCTCAAGGGGAGCTCGGGATCTTCCACACTTGTTGGGAGTCGAGGTTGGCCAGGTGTTAGTCCCCGGCGAGTCGCTTAACCCGCCGAGGGGCCAGTGTTGGACTCGGCATGTCTCTCCTGTCGAGTCGTGGTTGTACTGTTAGGTTGAGCTGTTCGTTGAGCCAGGTCACGCACACGTGTCACCAAATCACCCTCCATCAAGAACTACAAGAAAACCAAAATCAATTTATATATCAAAATGTTGGGAGTAGTGCAGGTAGATATAACACTCTATTGGTTCCGAAAACCAGTTGATGCGACAGGTTTTTTTCCTATCCCTGATTTTTTGAAATACGATGAGATTCTTCCTTTCCCGTCAAATGTTGGAATTTCGCGGAGAAGAAAGATAGCAGAGCAGCTGTTGTGAAATAGCTGTTGATGCCGTTGATATTGATTTCAGATGCTGCCGGAGGTCAAGATAGCATGTAGGTAGTTAGGCAGATACGCCTTGGAATTGCGGCGTTCTCACCAAAGGAAATGGATCCATTGTGTAGATTTTAGCTTCCATAAGCATTGTATTTATTGATCTCTCAGGGAGCTGCGACTAGCCTCGTCTTTATTACTTATAACAATTTGCTTCAGGGTGGATTCTAATCCCACTGAAAACCTCTCCTGACTCCTAAAATCTGGCATGTCCTTGGAGTTTTAATTTGTTGAGGTCCTGTTAAAGACATTCTGTCAGTACTCAACAGATGAAAGTGCCACGAGAACGATGATTGTTCATCGACATAAAAACTTATTTGAAATTAAACATGTAAATGTGGGAAACGGGGACAGCCAGACTCCAAAGCTGGACGCTACTCTGTACATACCTTCAAAACATCTGCCGAGCAGAACAAAGCTTTGGAATTGGAATTCTGATCTTTTTGCTACTAACAAGTAATAATACCGCTGTGGGGTTGCCTTATTGTGAAGGGTATGGTATCATATTTACTGCTTTACAAAATGCAGGGTAAGGTATCAATCTTCAAGAGCTCGTATTTACTCCCAAAAAGGAAACACTCTAACGTTTAGTTCTGCAGTTCCGGCCCACTAAGACCCCGCTAGGAGGGCCAGTGAGCACAATAGTGCATCGACTATACAACCAGTAAGAGTAATGGAAGATACTCCCGAAGTTAGATCGTGTTCTGAATGTCCCTTTAACGTCCAGTATGATACCATTTCCCTCCATCTGCTTCTGGAGTCGTTCACTGTCACCTGACGGCAGCCGAACCTGGCTGGAGACCATATGAACATCCTGCAGCTTCGATTCCGTCCTGGTTGCAGAGAAGGGGTCGATGGCTCCGGTGGCAATGAGGGTATCCCCGTAGTAGAGATCGATGTCCATGTAACTGAAGTCCACGTCGATCTTCTTGTTGGGGTTTGTGAAGTTGGCGAGGACAGTGAGGTCGGCATTCAGGAGGTAGCCCATGTCGATGTAGGCGGCATTGAGTGTGGCACTTGACACGTCAAAATGAGGATTCCTCGGTCGGAAGATAAGGTATACAATCAGAACTACCAGGCCTCCCAGTATGACGATGATCCAGAAGATGGCACAGAAGATTGCAGCGAACCATGTTATGGGGTTAGTCCGGCGAGGTTGGGGGACTTTGAGACCGCTGTGAGGTTGGTGATGATCGTGATCCTGGCGCTGCTGCTGCTGCCGAGGTTGCTGTTGTTCAAGGAAATGAGGATTGAACTCATGCTGCTGGGGAGTGGAGTTTGACGACATGGAGATCCAGTGGATAGAGATCTAGGAATAACAGCTGGAAGAAGAATATCAGAAGGAAGTGATGAGTCAGTCAGTGGTGAAGCGGCTCAATGGAGGAGGACTTAATGACATCATGGAAAAAATGGGAAATAAAGAAAAATTAAGGAGAAGGTAAAGAATCGAACATTGGCTGAATTGCGAGCCAAGTATACCTCTGATAAGGATTAATGAAGGTGGGGATGGTAGTGATGGAATCCAGTCACACCTTGCAGACAAAAAGGTCATGTCAATGTCGGATTGGGGTTGGATTTTGATGAAATTCCTCATCATTCCTCTGCTTTGGTTGCTTTCTCTTCTGTCGTCAGACGTGAATCTTTTCAACATCATACCTCCACCTTGATTTGGACACCAATCCAATGGACAAAACCCCAAAAGCGCCCTCTGCACGATAGCTAGGTTTGACACGTAGCAGCAGACTGTAAGTGTAATGTCAGATGGACATGTTTTAGGCGAAGCCAACCCAACCCGGGATCGGATCTGCCCCTCTGACGGAATGGAATCTGCTCCTCACACAGGGGGCCCTCACAGGCACATCCATCGTGCATTTATGCCGATTCACGGGCAGGCGTGGTGAATAGAGTGTGGATTATTGATATTTTGAATGTTTATAATTCTTCAGTGGAAATTAGAAATCTCTATTGGGTCTGTCCGTATTTTTCTGTAATTTATTATAAATACGGGAGATGTTTCCAATGCATGGTAGGATGTGCGTGTGAGGTTGGTATGAGGCGCCCTGAGTAAGGAACAAATTTGGTCTTCCCCTCTCACAGCATTGTGTATTGGAAGTATCTCCCGTAGTTAGATATTATTTACGGGAGATGTTTCTAATGCGTAGGGGTGGCAGATTTCCCTATTTCACCGATCCCCATGGGGATTGGGCGAGGATGGGGATGATTTCCCCCTTGCGGGGATGGGGATGGGGAAATTTTCATCTCCATTAGCAAGGACGGGGATAGCACTCCCCGCCCCGCGGGGACCCTGATCCCTGCCCGTGGGATCCCCACTAATATATATATATATATGTATGTATGTATATATATATATATGTATGTATGTATGTATATGTTATATATGTACACATACGTCTATATATTAATGTTTTAAAAATATGGTTGAATGTGTTTTAATCTTTTTAAATAATTTTGTTTTTATTTTTTAAATAAAAATAAAAAAACAAAATTATTAACATTATAAAAAATTATGAGGAATGGAAATCCCCGCACGGGGATGGAAATCCCCACCCCACCCCGCCCCGCCCCATCGCCATTCCTACTAATGCGCAATGGGATGTGCCTGTGAGGTCGTTGTGAGGCGCTATCTGTGAGGAGCAGATCCCATTATCCCAATCCAACCTAACCCAAATGAAATCTAGTCTAATCTAAACTTCAAATCGCCAACCCAACACAACCCATACTTGCTGAGTTGTGAGTTGTGTCCGACTGAATCCGATATATTCAACACATAACCTGGCCCATGTGGCCAAGTGCATTTTCATTATGTTCTTATATATAAGGAATGTATGGTATGGTTTTCATTTATTTAAAAAACGTTTGTCTTTAAAATGTTCTTTTAGTGTTTGTTGACAACTGGGCATCATTAGGTAGCACATAAATGGAACGTTAAATAAACACTTTAATATTGGAGAAACATTAAAATGAAACTTTCTCTAATAGATAATTTACATATAAATCAAAATAACTTTTATTGAATAAACAATCTTACCAAATAACATTTGGTACAAATGCCTATATCGGAATGAACTGGCATCATTTATCAAAGAGCGGAAAGCCAATACAAATACCATCATAATGTGTGGGTGTGGGTCTTACCACAAACACAAACACCAACAGAGCGATCTTACTCTTTAATCTCTTGTAGTATATGGTTGCAGTTCTAGGATTGTCAGCAGCCAAAAGAATTTTGTATGTTCCAACTTTAAGCCTCTCTCAACACTCAACCGGATCAAAGGCGCACTCTTGGTTGATCTTTCACTGTTTGCTTTTTATTTTTGCCAAATTATATTGACGGGACATGTTTGTTGGTGGAACTGATGAAAACACACCCATGCAGATGCATATACTGTGAAAGACAAAATTAATTCATCTTTTTATTAGCCAAATTAACCCCATTTCACTTGGACATGACCCAAGGTTTTGGGCTGGATCCATGAGAGAAGTCTCTGCCTCTCTGCATCTTGTTTCAAAATTTGTTTACTTTAATTTAATCTACGTTGTGGGGGATCTGAATGACTTGTAATGGATGTTTTACTTTTCCTTTAATTTCTTCATTTTCTGGTTGCTTTATTTTTCCTTTTTTCTGTACTATCTAATTAGACTAATCATCTTTAACTCATTTGAAGATTAATTGTCATCAGCAACACTTTGGTGAATTTTGACATCAAAATAAATATAATTTAATAGAAAAAAAAATACTGCAAGATATTGCAATTTCCAAACCAGTTTGTACGTTAGATTTTAGTCAATTCAAAGTATATACAGTACTGAAGTGAAGTCAAGGAGTTTGGACAACAATCGACAGCGGATTTCCATCTAGCTCGTGACTTCTGAAACATTAATTTGCTTGGAATCCACAGCTCCCCCCCTGATGGCAAAAAAGTCCTCATGGTGTCAACATTCTTGCAAGGAATTAAGCAGATCGCACCCACGAATCAATGGGCATTCCTCCACCTTCTCCGCTGATTGTCGCTCACACAATCTGTGGATTGCAGCATCGAAGAATTTGGGCTGCACGGATTCAATCCGATTCATTTCAATTGGATTCGGATATCCATTAGCTATAATCGGATCAAATCTGTTCTGAAAATATCGTCCATTTATTATTTGGATCAAATTCATATTCCGCTTGATTTCTTCCAATATGATCTGATTATGTATAAATATATAAAATACCAATTTTTTACAGTGTATGTTTGTTGTTTTATATTTAGCTTTTTAAATTCATGTTAACTTTTATATAGATTTGACCCCCATTTGGAAGTGTTTATTAGATAAATAAGTGCTTATAGGATAAGCGTTTATGAGTATATGGTGAAAAAGTACTTTTCTATAGGCATTTTGAAAATTATGTGACAGTTCAGAAACATAATAAACACTTATCGAAAAAAACATTTAAAAATAAATTACAATTCAAAATGAGCTTATTTTCTGGAATATATTCCATTAGTAAATAAAAATGTTATTTATTTGTTTTGTTTATTATGTATTCTACTATAAGATATATAGCCTGTCATATGTTGCGTTTTTGCAACATGACCTATCATTTTCCGGATTTTCATATTATTAATATGTTATATTTCTATCACCTATTCTATTATTTTCCTTGTGTCATATCTATTTCATGTGGTATATAATATAACTTATTATTGTATGAGACATCTTTGTCTGACTCAGAGAGAACAAGATTGTTGGATCATCAGAACTGGGAAATAGTAGCTAAAATAATTTATGGGTTGCCAAGTTCCTACAAATGCTGGCTAGGTAAAACTTAATTACCCCCAAATGACCAAATATATAGATTTTGTGACTCATGCTTTTATTGTTTTATGCTTATTTTGATAAAATATAGTTTTAAAAGATAATATGGAATTATTTTATTTTATTTTTTATATTTTATATTTAAAGAAATCAAACAACCAAGTTGGACGGCTGAACCTTTGAGTCCACCTAAAGACAGAAATGGTCCTACATCTAGTTTAAATCTGCGGATAATACTGTAAAATTTAAGAAAAAAATAAAGTTCACTATATTTTTGTCCCTGATATAAATAATTTTTTTTATTAAAACATTTCAGTATTTAATAATATTTGATATTATATATGTTGGTATTATTTTATTCAAAAATAAATTGACATTTTTGTTTTTGGCAAAAACACCAAAACTTGGAATTTTTAACCCATGTAGGAATAAAATCAATTGGCAATAACATGTTGACTGACAAGGTGCAAATGGATCGATGGTCCGATCTGGTCCGAAGTCTTATCCTATTTTGTTGGATTTGGATATCTCCTTTCGGATCTTTAAATCTGATAGTAAGATCCGATCAGAAATTGGATTCAGATCCCCCTTATCCGATTCAAGGTGATCCAATTTGTAAATATATTATTTATATTGTATTTTAACAAACTTATTATATTATTTATTTTTTATAACACACATATACATATATACATATTATATATATATGATGAAAATAGTTGAAAAGATGCTTGTATTTTTTTGCTTTTCTTTATTTAAATTGTTATATTTTATTTTTCTTTTAATAATTTATTATTATTTTAAATTAAATCGGATTAAATCAGATCCAAATATCCGACTTTTCCATTGGATTCAAATTCAAATCCGTGTTTATAAGATGCAATCAAATCTTCAGATTGAATCTAGTCTTACTAGTATCGAATCATTTTTTAATATACCCTAATTCAAATATGATCCGATTCATTTATCCTAAACTACAGTTAACATTTATTACACTACACAAAACACACAAACTTGTATTTATTTACTTGAAAAGTTGAGATGATATTTTATTCATCGCTTGTAATTATCAATATTTTCAACCTGTCATTGACATGATCAGTTAGATTGTTGACCCATTCACCGGCTTATCATTTTCTATCATGGTATCGCATAAAACAGTTGAACCAGTGATGCTGCATTACTCAACAGCACCTATGGGGGATTCGATTGTATCATCAAATAAATAAATAAAAATAAAAAAACAACCGGAAGAAAAAATGTTTCAGCCTCTGGGCTGAGTTTTAAAACATTAATAATTAATGAATAATACTCTCAGGTCCTTGCACTTGGGTGTGGAGTTTAATTAAGGCACAAGTAGGGCTGTCAACGAAATCCTAACACTTGTTTTGAAATTTGATGCCATTAGTTTAATAAGATAATCTGTTTACATAATTGGATCAATTTGGATTTTGAAACTTGCTACCGTTTAACGTTCGTATTGGATGTGATCCTGTTAAGATCTAAGTCTAATTAAATGTAATATGATATGTATACACATCATCATGCCTTATACCAATTATATACGGTTGATTATATGAACCCTATTTTTCCATTCCGTTATATTATAATTTTGAAAATCAGATCGGATTGATGGACCCGAGAGTCGGTTACACAATTAGTTTCGTTTCACCCTAAAACTGTTTTTTGACCAAAAATGACTTATCTACGCGGTTGAATTATCTAACCATCAATAAGAACAACGGTTTTGGCCATTTTTTATTTTAATTATATTTTAAATTAGAATGAACTGACCATTTGAACTGATGGTCGGACCATTTGGCCCAAGAACCGGACTCCAAAATGGTTATGACTTTCGTGTCTGATCCAGTTTTTAAAACCTTGTGTTATATTGTGTCATATTCATTATTAAATTATAGGTGCTTAAATCATCTCTTATTACATCTATTCAAAATTTTAAATCATTTTCAATTTGCCCCTATCTCTTCTAACCCCTTCAGCTTGCAACATATTATTTTTTCTAACAAGTGTGTTAGATGGTCTTCTAAGCATGTGACCAAACCATCTCAATTTGATTTTTCTTATTTTGTCACATATTGGATTTATTTCTATTACCTTGGTATGACTTCATTTCTAATACATTCTTTCTAGTTTTACCACTCACCCCTCCAAGCATTCACATTTCTTTCACATCCATTGTTTTGGATATATTTGCTTCTTAATTGCCCAACTATATTATACGCTTTTTCCTTTTAGCTGAATTGGTATTTGCCCTATTACATACTCTGGATGCACTCCTCTATCTTTCTCTTCTTACACCAATTCTTTGCAAGGTTCAAAGTATTGATACATGTAATGTGATGTGCAAAAATTGCATTTCACACGATTAAAAGGGGCAAAGCTCATAGAAAAATGTTTTTATCTTACAAGCTTTGGATCAGGACATTTCTAAGAAGGCTATTTTACATTGAATATGGCCATTTGTCCTAAATTATTGGATTTAATGTATTGATGACCTGAAAACTGATGTATTGGTCGATACACATCCTATGTTTCAATTTTTTGAACCTTGGTTCTAGGGGTGACATCTCTTCAATCTCTCTTTTGTAATGAATTGTTCAACCAAAATAACTATAGACATCACATTGAGTCAAGGTTTTAAAAATCGATCCAGAATCAAAACCGTTATAAACACCGGTTTTTATGATTCGATCATCCGATTCAAATGAATGATCCGTTTTAACAAGAAAAAGAGTAAAAAATCATTGAATGGGTCAATAATTTGACTGCCATAATCAACAGATCGTTGACCATTTTAATAATTTTTTACTAGTGAATGGTTTTAAGGTAAAATAGAATTAATTGCCTGAATGATACCTGAGCGGAACAATCCAACCGTCCAAATCTAAGGTGGTTAAAAAACATTGCATTGAATTATTTCTTGGTCTCCAAACCTAGCCTAGCTATACAGTGAGTTGCAATCCACTTATTACTTTACATCACATATTTCTGTTTTACTCCTACTTTTATTTTTAGACCTTCTCCTTTTAATGTGATTGTGTCCTTAGTTTCATCAATTAATACTGTCTATTACATGCATCAGGCAGCATGGGACCTCCTCTTTAATACGTTCAATGAATTCATCTTTGACTTGTTATAAAAAATTATCGATGACAAGTGCAAATAGTAAATTCATTTTTTTATATTTATATAAATTATTTATTTTATATTTATAAATTAAAACGTTTTTTAATCTTTTTTCTTTATTTTAAAGGCAATGAATGAACTAAAACGAAATCCAAGTCTGACCCAAAATCCGATCCAAGACCTAGATCTCATCCGACGTTTTTTATTCTTATTTATCCATTAATTAGATGAGGTCCAGGTTGTATTAATAATGTGTTGATATATAAAGATGTGACATTAGGGAGCTATGGATTTGTTATTATTTTTTTTTTGGTGCTATTTGGACATTTACATTTGTGGAAATATTATAGACAGTCTTGGGTTGGACAGGAAGGAATTTAATGGGGGGCGTAATGGGGCCAAATGTAGAAACTACTGGGTTGGTTCCTAGATTCAAGCCAGCCAGCTTTTCTTGACTTTGTGTAGCTTTCAGCTAATAACGTCCACGTCTATGGTCTATTATCATCTCTGGCTCTATGCAAACTTCGCATTTTCATTCTGGCATCCCATCTCTCTCATTCTTTTTCCTTTCTCTTTCTCATGATTCATTATCACAAAATAGAATTGTTAAATGGGGCAATAAGTTAGAGCAGAAGAAAGTCTTAAAATCAACCCAATTTTCTCTTGGAATAACGCAATAAAGAGGAAATGACCTCAAAATCAAAATCTTTCTGGTAATGGAAACAATATGGTCCATACGTATGTAAATTAATTATAACCTTATGTAAAAAAGCAGAAGCGACTTAAGGGCCGTTTGGGTTTTGATAACAGCTGAAGTTACTCAACCGACTTACTTATTGATTTGGGATAAAATAATCAAATTCAGTTGTAACGATTAAGGAGTCTATTATAAGGCTTAACTTAGTGTCGTTTGGCAAATCCTTTTTGAAAGATCTTTTGGAAGATCTGACAGTCAAAGGACATAATCAGATTTTACATAGCAGTCTATAAATTGTTTGGTTAGAAGTACTCTTTCCATATAAAGACGAAACAAAAACAAACAGTCCGTGCAAAAAGACACGCCAATCGATGCTAATTGATTGGTTGTAAGTTTTTCGAGTATCATGATATCATAGTCCAACCCATTTACTAAAGGTCAAAGTAATAAAATTTTTAATTCAATCACTTTAATTGTTATCAAATGTCACTGCCCCAAAGTAGAGAGCAATATTAGTTGCATTTACATTTTTCCAAGGGCAAATTTTGTATAATTTTTTCTTCAAAACTTTTGATGATTTAAAATAAATCTTAACTCTTGGGTAGGTGCCAGCTCATAATTGATGTCGCGCGTATTAATGTTATAAGTAGAATTGTTTGAAATTTGGAATTATTGTAAATCTACATTTGAATTCAGAATTGTGAGGTGGAATGAAGTCTACTTATCCTTTAAATAGATTTTCAGGGTAGAAAATTTTATCAAAATACAAGAGTATATTATATCTTGGTTTTGATTTTGGTAAATAAAACAAGCAATAAAAATGTATAAGGTGGGGCAAACCATAAATATCCTAAATAATAAAAAATATAATTGAATTTTTCTTTTTTTTTGGTTTTCGTGGAAAATGTGTTTTGATATTTTGCCATTGGAATTAGATGCCAAGAATATGAGCATGATTATAGGATAACTGGTATTGTATTGTTGAAGTGTGATAATAATCCACTAATGTGAAGTGAGTCAAAAAGCCGTCAGATTAGAATAAGGGATACAGTAAGGCCCCACAACGGTGACTATAGATTGATTTGACGTTCATGCATTATACATAGTGCATGGAACATCAGTGGTGACGTGGCATTGACCAAATTCTCCCACTGTCTTAGTCTTAGTCTTAGTCATACCATTAACCATAACCATAGCTAGCTAAGCTGTAAGAGTAATAGCTAAGTTGTCTTAGTCTCTCTCTCTCTGCAGCAGTTAGCTAGTTATAGTTGAACTAACTACTCACCCCTCACATTCCAATTGCGAAATACATGCGACGACTGGGTCGTCGGTCTTCCTCCTCCACAAACAAAACAAACACACCCTCCGTATCTACTCTTCTTCCATTTGCTTTAAGACTTGTATAATCTCTCTATTACTAATTCTTTCCTTCTTCTTCATCTTAATAAATAACAAATAAATAATAAGGGCATATAATAGACAAGAGAAATAACAGACGCAAGACTCTCTCAATCTCTCTCCATTTGTACACTTTCGTCAAGTTTTCTTCTTTTCCTTTTGCTTGCTGTTGTGTTTTGGAATCCATTTTTCTATGTAACACGGAAGCTCAGTCACGGGTTTTACTCAGTCGTAGTTGTTGTGTTTGAATTTTCTTCTCCTCTTTTTTCTGTGAGACTGATTTTGGTTAAGGTTTTCTATCTATTCTTTTATTTTTTAAAAAAGAAAAGAATAAAGCTATTAAATTTCAAGGTGAGGGAGGAAAAAAAAAATTGCAGCTCTGGACTGGAGTTCTGCAAGTGCAAACATATAGAGAGTCAGAGTCAGAGTCAGATTCAGAAAGCGGAACCGCTCACTTTTTATCAGCTATTTATGCGAAAAACGAAAGATCACCATCTTCGACGGCCTTTCCTGGAACTATCCTTGCATGGGTTTCAGGTCTGTAGAGTCTCTGCTGTTGTTGCTCCGACCGTAAGATGTTAGGGCAAGAAGGTGAGGAGCGTAATATCCCCGTTGCCACCCGCAACCGCAAGACCTATTTACGGTCCGTTTCATGGTCCGACCGCTCTCCTTCCGGCCACACCCCAAAACCACTACCCAACACCCACACCAACGGCAGTAAGGTCCGCTCCTCCCTTCCACCGCTCCAGCCCCTTTCCATCTCTCGCCGTAATATAGAAGAGTGGCCCAGGCCCGGCTCCGACGACCTCGGTGAATGGCCTCATCCCCCAAGCACTCCCGGCTCTAGGTCCGTCAAGCCCCTCTATAACTCCGATTCCGAGCACCCCCCAAGAGAATTCCAGCTCAAGAAGGACAAGCTCGCCTTTTTCGACAAAGAGTGCTCCAGAATTGCCGACCACATATACCTCGGCAGCGACGCCGTCGCCAAGAACCGAGAAATCCTCCGCCAGAATGGTATCACCCATGTGCTTAATTGTGTAGGATTTGTCTGCCCCGAGTACTTCAAGAGTGATCTCGTCTACAAGACGCTATGGCTTCAGGACAGCCCATCGGAGGACATCACCAGTATCCTCTACGATGTCTTCGATTACTTCGAAGATGTTCGGGAGCAGGGTGGGCGGGTCTTCGTCCACTGCTGCCAGGGGGTCTCCCGATCCACCTCCCTGGTCATTGCCTACCTCATGTGGAGGGACGGTCAGAGCTTTGAAGATGCTTTCCAGTATGTCAAGGCTGCACGCGGGGTCACTAACCCCAACATGGGTTTCGCTTGCCAACTGCTGCAGTGCCAGAAGCGGGTACACGCCGTGCCGGTGAGCCCGACTTCTGTGCTTAGGATGTACAGGATGGCCCCGCATTCTCCATATGATCCCCTCCACCTTGTTCCCAAGATGTTGAGTTATCCAGGCCCTCTAGGTCTTGACTCTCGTGGGGCATTTGTTGTTCATGTTCCTTCCGCCATATATGTCTGGACAGGGAAGAATTGCACCCAGGTCATGTCCAACTGTGCCAGAGTGGCTGCCTGTCAGGTCGTCCGTTATGAGAGAGCGCAAGGTCCAATTCTGAGAATTGATGAGGGCGAGGAGCCTGCTGACTTTTGGGATGCTCTAGCTAGTGCTCCGCTTCTTAGTGACGATCTTGACAAAGTGGCCGGCAAACTCGAATGTTCTGTCGGTAAGGATCAGGTTGCAGCGGCAATTCGTCTTGGGGTTGGTGGGAAGAAGGTGGATGAATATGATTTGGACTATGAGATTTTCCAGAAGGCGCTTTCGGGTGGTGTGGTTCCACCTTTCTCATTATCGGCAACCGGTTCGGAGACCCATCTTCCTGCCAGAGAAAATGGTTGGGACCGGCTAAGACGCAAATTAGCTAGCGGTCTGATGAAAGAACTTGTCATATCATCCAAGTTAACATCTAATAATAGTTCTCAATCGGGTGATACACCGGATAAGATTATCGGTACTACGTTGCAAGAAATGAGGAACTCCCCTGTTTCTCCCGCAGTATCTTCGCCGCCACCATCCCCTTCCTGTGGTTCGCCCGGTTCATTTTATTGTCATTCGAATGCCAGTTCAAAGCCCAATTCCAGGTCTCCTTCGCCTGCACCTTCACCATCAGATTCTTCAAGTTCGTTTACCTTTTCACCCGCTTCCTCTAATTGGTCGGATTTTTCCTTCTTATCTTCTTCTCAGCCATCACCTTCAGCGATGGAAATTCAAGAGACATTTGCCCATAACAGTCCTCAAGCAGAAAAGGCCTTTTTTCCATTCAAAGAGACCTATCCCTCTCTTGGAGGGGCATTTGATGCTGAGCATGCTTTGAGAGTGGAAAAGGCTTGTTTCCCACATAAGGGGGCTTGTCCCTCTCTTGCAGAGCGCCGAGGAAGTAACCCTCCAGCTTTAGTGTTAACATCATCAACCGATAACCCAACTCGACTTTCCAAGTACTTGGTAAGGTCAAGGTCCTTTTCCCTCCCTGACTTGGAAGAAGATGTAACGAGGGATAGTGGATGCAACCAGTTGAAATCTGAAGCTTTTTATGAAATAAACAGAGGAGAGCAAACATCCAACTTTGAGCAGTCCGTTTCTCACAACAAAGTACAGTATAGGGTAGAAGATGAGAAGGAATTTGATAATGTTCTTCTGGCATCGTGTGCTGCAACTGGTGGCAAGGTTTCAGAACTAAAACAACCAGCTCTTTTCCACTGGCCTACCATGGAAAAGGTGGAAATGCAAAGCCCTGGAGTTCTTGATTCTAAGTCAGTGTTCCTTCTGTTAGCTCCAGATGTGAATTTGGAAAGAAGTAAGCCTAAAATTTTATATATTTGGGTAGGGCATAATGCTTCATTTGACAAGGAGCAGATTCCTCTAATTAGCAGTTATGATGCAAACGAGGATAGTCATATCCACTGGGAAAAAGTTGGCAGATACTTCCTTAATCAAATGGATCTTCTACTGGATCTCCCCATTCAGGTATTCCATTCAACTCCTGGTTCAATGTATGTGCTTATATTATGACTTTCTAATACCCTTTTATGCGTTTAGGATCAATTGAAACTATTGTTTGCTTAACAGCAAAGAACAAATTTTCATGGCCTAGGATTTGCATGAAACTTATCTTGCATTATAGACCGAATAATTGCTGGACATGATAAATTTGTTTTGGTAGATAATGATAGGTATTAAATATATAAAAAGAAAGAGTATCCACGAGTAGAGGAAAGCATTTAATTCTGATCATGATGGAAAACGTTTCATCTATTAATTTGTCTTGGAATGGCCTGATTATGTATTTCTCAACACAGATAGATGGTTAATCATACTATGATACAACCCTGTATGGTCCATCCCCATGTACAAATTTCAAAACCAACTTATCAAATAAAAAAAAGTGTAAAACCAACTTTGGCACTGAGGCAGAAGAAGAGAAGGCCTTGGAATATCATGTTTAAATTGACAAAGGATGAGAAAGGATGCGTGTCAAGGACTGCATATTGGCATAGTCTTATTGCATGTTTATGTTCATTGTCAACATGTAAAATTATTATCGTTATTAGAACAACATTCTTTATCCTTCCATACAATGAGGATAAATATAGTACCTATGACAAATCAGTAAAAGGCCATTACTCAATGTAGGTCCCATCTATCTGGGGTATTGGGATGAGTGTACTGGATATGGTCGTGCATTTTTTTTTTTGTGTGTGTAAATTTGCTGTTCTCAGACTCGAACCTGCGTTCTCACACTTGACATCCCAAGATTTTACCACACCAAGTAATGGCCCCTTGACACTAAAATAGCAGTAGATGCAACATGTCATGAGAGAGCAACTGCTGGAAGTTCTAGCTTCTATCAGAATAGACATGCAAAAACACATTAAGTCATGTAAAACAAAACCATGAAAGGATGAGCAAAGGAAAATGAACTAGAATGGAGACTTGTCATTTATTAATTTTCTTTATGGCCATTTGCTGAGATATGAGGTTATATCACAGGGAAAGAAATTATATTACCCAAATTAACCTCATATTTCAGTGTTCATTAATTCTAGTTATGAACCATACGATGTTGAGAAAGTGAGTTTTGAATCTGACAGCAAACAATATAGACACGGTATGGAAGGTTGCCTAGATTGTAGATTCATGTTTTTCCCACCATACAAGGAATTGTTGATATGAACGTGTATCTAAATGCAAGAAGATCACCACATTTTGTGGATCACATTCTTCTGAATCTCGATGACCATTACCTGGTGTTGGTCCTGGTTGTTTGGTTCTTGGTGGAGGTGAATGAGTAAAGATCTAACCTCTGGCATTTTCACATAAAGTGACGACGCTCTTAACCCCGAATTTGTGTTTTCACACTTACCAGCCTGAGATTTTACCATCACATCTTAGCAATAACCACTATTCTTGAGAGCCATTATCTGGGAAGAGCCACTCTTAGAATATGTAAGGGATTAGGAATCTTGGAGGGTTGTTCTTGAAGTGCAGATTGCAATTTGCAGATAAGTGAGAAGTTTAGTGTTCCATCTAGAGACACAAGTTTTCAAGAATTTAGGCCATGAACACTTTGGCCTCAAGTTTAGTGAAGTTAATGGTAGTGGATTTATGTGGGTAAAGGGAACCCAGTAGATTTTGGGATGCAGACCCAAGGTCCATCCTGGTAGAAGTTATTTCATTCCTCCATTTAGGATAGTGTAAATTGCAAAATTTAGTTTAATTCAGCTAAACTAGTCTCTGATAAATGATAGGATTATTTGGGCAATTTTGAAGGTTGAGAAAGAGTGTAGTTTATGGTTGAGTTGGAGTTCCTTTTCAGTTTCATAAGTGTGTGGTGGGTCGAGGACCATGCTTCTCCTAGGGTTATCTTTAGCTGGACTGAGTTCCCCAAGCTATCCTTAACCATAGCCGTCAATTGTTTTGTATGTGCGAATGCAGAGAAACCTGCAGAGAACTGTTTCCTCTTTGTTGTAGGAGTCTCAAATTTGTACTGTTTTGTAGTCTTATGGACTTCAATTATCTTCCACTTGATTGATGTTGGAACATTTACCTTTGGACCATATATGGAAGAAAAAAATCTTAAAAATGAAAAATATGAAGTAGCTAAAATATCACTAATTGATTCATAAGTCTGTTGTAGAATATGCTAGCTGTTCTTTCCTTTTGAACAGTTCTGAAAAGTTTAAAGGGCATAGGAATGTCATGCATTAAAAGTTAGTGATGAATCCCTCTCCTGCTCTTTTGAGCAGTGAGGAACAGAGGTGTCAGAATTTATAACTTAATAGTATGTGCTGCCCCCAGAATTGGCGTAGCCCCATTTTCTTTCATGAACCATAAAAACGAGGGGGGAAAACATAGAGTTTCTCTAGCAGTTGGCTATTGCTATTGAATGGCCTGTGGTTAAGAATATTTCCTCAACAATTGTAATCAGACCTAACAGACAATAAATCCACATTAATCAAATGAACAGAATCATCTATTTCTCTTTTTTTTCTGATAATTAACAATGTTGAATTTCATTCATCATCAAACAGCTTTGCTGATCCCAAGGACCAGACAACCGTACAAACAGCCTTCAGCCTTGGGCTGACCAGAGAAGAGTGTAATAGAACTTTTAGATGGATATTACAATTTAGCTCTGAAAGTGATACTCCCGATTTACAGTCTCCTTCAAGCATTATGTTGTTTAATCCAGTTTCAGCGAGCAATTTTAGGCCCTGTAATATAGCTGATAGATCAGCCCTCAAAGAATTGCCAACTCCTACAAGTCCTGAAAGGCTTGGTTTTAAAAATGAAGGGATACTATGTAAACTATGACTCTCAATGGCATTCCAACCAAAGTTCTGAATATTAAAAAGTACCATGATATATATAGGAGTTGCTTCCATCTTTCTCTTAGATGAGTATTCCTTTCCTTTAACAACTGCCTTGATTCATAATGCTTCTTTTTTCAAAATTTTATCTTGATTGGATTGTGTATATATTTGCCTTTGTGAACATTTGATTTTTTTGTGGTTGTTGGCTATTTTGAGCTGATAGAATAGGCCTAGTATCTTGACATCAGTCTTCCATGTCATAAATAGGTAGTCAGAGAAGGAGAAGAGCCTCAGCAACTCCTAGACTGTCTGAAGCCTCAACCATTTCTAACATAAAACAGGTATAAGGGGAATACAGATGCCACATCTGAGAAGGTAAATGAAGCTGATTACCTCTGAGCATCTGGGTTCTTAAGATTCCTAGCCTGATAGATCATTAGCAAGAGTATAGGTTGCAGATTTTGTCAGGAAAGTTGGCATCCCAAGCAGGGTAAGTAAGTTTATCCGCATGTGTGATGTATGGTAGAGATCTTAATTACCCTACAACAAAACACATGTATAGAAAGCAAGTCCGCTCTAAATTATAGGAATTAGAAATGATTTATGGAACTGGGAATAATAGAAGTTTATTTTCCTATTTTTTGCCCCCAAAGCATCTCTGCAATGGGTTTTCTGGTCTAAGATGTAGAATCAACGGCAAAAGTGTTGCTGTTTGAGGGGGAAATGGACCATCTATTCTCAAGGGTTCTCTTGGGATTTTTTTCCCTCATCTTTTTTTCAGTCATAGTGTTTTGGCCGCACTTGTTTTTTTCCCCTTGGATCAAGATGGATGACAGAAATTCATTAAGTAATCATGCCACAAAATTGGATATATAAATTGAGAAAAAGAAATTGGGAGACCATGACTCAATGGGACCAACCCCAATTTCCTAGAATGGTTTTTGCTATCTACTAGACCTGTTCATGGGCCAGGCTCAGACTTGGCATGTGAAAATTTGAATGGGCCCAGCCTGAAGCCCAAGCCCAAAACAGTGTAAAGCCAAGCCTGAAGGCCAGCCTGTGAACAGGTCTACTATCTAGTTGATTGCAATCAGGGACAACAAAATGTAATAAGCGTTACTAACTTACTACACAACTGCACCCATATTACCCATTCATTCAGGCTTAGTTTGTTTGCGGTGTAGATATCATTTGTCTGGTGTAAATGTATGGGATTACAATTAGGCTTTGTAGTTTACGTTGACTTCACATTTGATTGCATATATGTTCAGGAGTGATGCGCTCTATTTTATGAGAGAGAATTGATGTAAGAGGAAGGTGGTGCAAATTTTGCATCAGTTTTTGGGATGCAAAGTTTGCATTGCCAGTGAAGACAGATGTGACAAAAGTTGCAATTTTTGTATCAGGTAGAAGTACAAACGATAGCTATAAACAAATGGATACAAAACTGAACCAGGTGCAAAATTTGTAGGCGTTCCTTGTATGTTCTCTGAATAGTGATGTAGCTGTTCCATAAGACATGCTGAAGAGTGAAGACTGAAGCCTGCAGGCATTTTGTTTTCCATGAATACTTAATATTTTTCAAGGCAAATATCTGAAGGCGACACTCTTCAATTATTAGTCAAAAGCATCGTTTTCTCGAGAGTCGTCCCAATTCAATCCACCAGACCTTTATTATAACAAATCCTCCTACTATTAGATTTTTAATAAGATAAAGATGAAACAACGTTATTTTTTTTTTTATCAATAACACTTTCATTAATTCATCAATAGAAGATTTACAAAAGGAGGACAAACATGCTCATCTTTCAAGAGCAACAAAGAACCTCAAGTAAAGAAAAAAAGAAAAAGAAAAGAAAGAAACTTGTTATCAAAGAAATAGAAGATGAAACAACGTTATCAAAGAAACTTGTTGCTTTTAATCAAGTCTATTTCCACGGATGGATTAGTATTGTTATTACTATTATCAGAGATTCCTCAATAGTCAATAACATGGTGGAGCTTCCCATTTTCCCAACAAGTAAAGATTTTATGGTCGGGATCAAATCCCTCCTTCACCAGTGGTTTTTTTTTTTTCTTTTTTGGTACCCCATTTGAGTAGCTCATTTGCCTAGAAAAAGAAGAAAAAGGAAAAGAAAATGTAAGCTGACAGGTGTGTTTGTTGCTTTTTCTTTTTGGTTTTTGCACTTACTAACATGGCCCTTTAATAAATAAACAAACGGTCAGATGGAGAAGTAAGGTTAGAATTTTGGATTGAATTGAAAATTCTTCTTATTATTATTGATTGTTCCAACTTCCATGATATTGACAGTTGACAGAACCATACCGGGACAAATGTATTAGATATCCATCAACATCCCATTTTCTTTCAAAAATCTCAACCATATGCGATATGTCCAATTATATGAAAGATTTGAACATCCACCTTTAACCATTTTAGACCTTTTATCAACCACCATTTGGTTTTAGGCCAGAATTATTATATAAAGAATTGGACAATTGCTACCAGTGATGAAGACCAATACACACCACCACCAGTGGCTTTATGGACCATCGACCATCTCAAATCAAATTGATATATATATATATGCATATACATCATCATGAAATAGCATCTTACATATCAGCCACCAGCTCAATGAAATAAATAAATAAAGGTGCAATGCATCATAGCAGCTCAGGCTCAGGACGTGGGTGGTGACATGAATATAAGTTGGGACGGGTGGGAGAATGATACAACAGATCAAAATTTATCTACCTTCTTACGGTTACAGTTTCATGGTCAAAATTTTGAGCTCTAAGCCCTTGTAACTTGTAACTTGTTTGTTGGGTTAGAAATAAGAAGCGCATTGACCAATTTCAACCTAATGTAATGCTGTAATGGTCGCAGACGGTAGAGAGGATTTGACCAAACCCTATGTATGGATTGCATCTCTCCCTCTCTGCCATCTCTATTTCTCTTTCTGCCGACGTTTTAGAACAAGTGAACTGATATGAATGAGATGAGATGAGTGACAAGTGGCAATTTTCTCGTTGTCAACCGTCATTTTCTGGGAGTGGTCAAAGTGGCCGCCTTCCACCAGTTTCCATTACATTTATAAGTTATAACAGCAAGCAGTACACCTGTTAGGCTGTTTGTTCGTTTGTATTCTGTGGTTTTAAATTTTAATATATACTGTATTAATAATACCAAGCCAAGGTCCTTGACTCCTGTATCTGACGAAGGTTTTTCACCTTGGAACTTGGAAGTTGGGTTCTACACCAAACGTTCTTATTTCTTACACAAAATTCCACCCATAGTTTATATTATAAGGACCACCGAATTAGAAAGAATAAAGGAGAAGAATATTCCAATCCAATTGCTTGAAAAAAAATGTTGACCAGATGCAAAACATGGTGCCAATATGCGTGCTACATGGAATCTATTACGTCATGAATTAAAATACCCCAAACCACTACACCTGGTCACAGGACACAGGGTGCTCTTACATGGAGCTAAAAAGCTAAAATAACATTTTAGCTCAAGCGGCTTCCAAACTTAAAATACAAGAATAGTGGCTGTACTCTTGTTATCCTTGAATCATTGTTTTTTTTTTACTTTTATTAGTAATTTACTATAATATTTAAACAGAATTAGCAGCTAAAAATAATGCCAGGATATACATTATAACAGGAGTAAAGGTTAATAACCCAAAGGAATTCATTTTTCTAACACAATCACTAACTATCATATTATATTACTGGGAATTGAGGAGATTGTTTCACTTCTATCAAAATTTCCACCGCCACTACACAATAGAAAATGAAGGCATCTACGATCATAGGTGATCCTTAATTTTGTTGAAGCTCGCAAGTCTCAAGTCAACATCATTAGAGATCTACCCATTTGGGAAAACAAGCTTCATTAATCATTCTCTGCCCTTAGTAGAGCCATGGTCGGGCCTAGTGCGCTGCTTCTCAAGGCTTTGTAGGACCATGCAGACTTTCCTGAACTCGCTTTAGTAGTCCAGCCATCCCTCTGTAACAGTTGTGTCTTCTTATCTTTTAAGGCCTGGCTGATCTCTTCCCAGACGTTTATCTGCTGCCCATTTCCTATAATAAGATGCTCCCTATTGAGATGAAACTCGGCACGTAATGTAAATCAATAACCAATTTAATAAAGATGTGATAGTTTTGAGTATGATAGGTACCTTTGACCCGGTCATCTATCTCCTTATTGTTGCTGTGTGGCCCCCCATCTGATACAGTGTCCTGATTGCTTGCAGGCCCACCTGATACCGTGCCCCGATTGTTCACAGGAACTGCATCACTCCCGCAGCTGACTTCGGTTGCAGGATTTAACTTGTCATGATGGACAACACGAACATCAACCAGAGATGCAAGATCAATCTGCACATTATACATGTCAAGGATAATATAAAGAAATGAAAAATTGGCACAGTTTGTAAGGTTGTACTATAAAGTGACGAGGTTTCAATAACATATATCCACAAGCCATAGTATTAACTGTAGAAACATTTTTTTCCTACCTGATTTGTTAAATAAATCAAATTCTAACCAATTTGCACGTCAGTCGGTATAAATTCAGAAAAAAGAAACTCAACTGCCTTGTCCCAACTATATGGTGTTGACTATACAAATCCTCTCTGCCATTCTGTTTTTTCATTATCATATTCAGTATTAAGTAATGGGCCCTTAAATCATTTCTCACTACTTCAGCCCATATTCTTCTTGACCTGCCCCTAGCTCTTGTAAGAGATCACTTCCGCCTGTATATATACTTTTTCTCATTTTATCACACCTATATGAGCTACTACTGTGTTCCTTCTAATAAGTTCACTTCTGATCATATCCTTTCTAACTTTCCAACTCATCCATCTTAACATTGGCATTTCACCAGATTTGTTTTTTAGACATTTTATTTCTTGACTGCCCAAAACTCAGCTCCACACAGCATTGTTAGCCTTGTCTATTTTATAAATTTTTCCTTTTAGCCTGAGAGGTATTCTACCAATACATAGAACTCCATCTATACTCCATTTTGCCCATCCCACTCTAATTCTATGGGCAACATCCTCCTCAGTGTCTCCCTTATCATGGATTATCAAACCAAGGTACGAAAAGAGGCTATATTGAGATGTCTCTTGGTCTTCAATTCTAAGCGTACCATCATCTCCACTCCTACTCCAATCTTGATTGTACCGCTAATCTCCACTACTGTTCCCGTTTTTATTAAATTTACATTGCAATATTCTGTTTTAGTCTTATTTAAAACCTCTTGTTTCTATGGCATTTGTTCTTAAATCAATTTTGCATTTAATCCCTCTGCAGTTTCATTAATTAGTAGTATGTCATCATCAAACAGCATACACCATTGGACCACCTCTATGTTTAGTCAATTCATCTATGGCCAATATGTCCCAACATTTAGGTGGCATGGAATAAAACCACCAACGAAAAACATAAATAAGTTGAAGATTTATTAGATATTATTATCTACAAGAAGAAATAAATGAATAGCATAGAAGCTAGGTAACTAGGAGTATTCAAGCATCTCCTTGATTTTCTCCTCTAATGTTGATAATAGCAATTAAGAAATTTAATAATAATACAAAAGTATTTTGTCTACATGAAAAGACACCTATATGTATTATTTCTGACATAAAGGCATATATATGAATATGTAATTTCTAGACCATGTAATACCTCACAACATAATTTGTTGCACCACACAATGGATTTTGAAGACTAGAAAATTACATACAAAATTAGACCTAATGAAAATAGAAGGCTGTCCCTAGCAAACAATGTTCATTTAAAAGATGTGAATCACATATTGTGAACCTGAATATGAACCAAATGAACAGGTGAATCAAGGAAGTATGGTTTAAGCTTTCAATAAAGTTAAACCAACCGAGGGCTGGCTCGTTGGTGTGTTAGCTGGTTTGTTCCAGCGTTGATGCGGAATCGAATCCCGCAACCAGCACTTTGGGCAAAAAGGGGTCAAGGGGGAAGCTATTAATGGTAAATGGCACCAAATACCCAGAAAAAAGTAAAGCTAAAATTTTCAAGGGATTACATGGAATGCCACGTCCACAGTCTACTAAAACAGTATATTGTCTTTCCTTTTGGTCTTTGAGTCAAAAGAAACATGCATCAAGAAATAGAAGAAAATACAAAAACACAATTCTCCCTTGCCAAGAATTTATAAAATCACCCAGCAAAGCCTTGGAGAAATATCATAATAAGTATAGCAAGTACCTCTAGAGAGCCATCTTCCTTGTAAAGGGAGGTATCCAACTGCATTTCAGATGCATCTCCATCTGCCTTCTGATCAGAAACAATAGGGTACTCTGAAACAGGTAACAGCATAACCATATTGGATCCAGAATCATACCATGATACTTTCCCAACCTACAGCAGAAAAATGGTATTGTCAAATACAACGATTTGTGTGTGTGTGTGTGTGTGTGTGTATATATATATATATATCTTTCATAATGGTAAATGGTTAGCCAAAAGGTAGCATACTCGAAAAGGAGAAAGCTCAGGGCACCATGATGAAGATAGCTCAACAAGACGATATGCAATCACATCACCTTCCTGCAGTAAAAAATAATGTCAATCTTCTACTTCTCTCATCTCGACTCAGAGGAAACAAAATTGTGGTTTATCATGAAATCCCTATATTTCACTAAAAGCATCCAGATTTAATACACAAGTTGGAAACAAAGAAAGAGGCCAGTTAATATGATTCACTTACCACTATAAAGCCATAGCAGAGTCATGGAATGGGCAGACTATTAGACAATGAATTTATACTAAAAAAATGTTGTCCAACATAGACACTGTATCCAGTTGGAAGTGTCCATGCACCATTGGTAAGAAACAGCATGATACAGTTAGGAGTGTCAATCCATGCCAGGTCTAAACAGTAAAATGTGTAATAGCTACAAACCTTAGGCAAGCTAGCCAAGGTAGTAAGACTATCAAAGTCTATAGCCCCATCTGCAGTCTCCCCTTCGTCAGTAACCATCTCTTCAGTAGATTCCCTATAATCACTCCTTCCACAAAATAAATTTTTCTCTCTACCCCATTTTTGACCTTTTTTCTTGCTGATGGTACCACTCCATTGAAAAGTCTCCTGAAACAATTCATGGTAATGGTTTCATCATATAGAAAATCAAAGACTAATAAAAAAAGATGGAGCACAACTGAAAACATGAAAAATAGGAAAGAGAAAAAGAATCAGTCCAAATAAACATCAAATGCCTTATGCACTAAAAGCTTCATTAAAAAAAATTAGACTAATAAATAAAAAAAATTAAGAAACATGTTATTTTTAACGATGGAAAAAATGAATAAAGACAATAATGATGTAACTACTTATGTTACATTAACCTTTAGATAGACCCGTGAACAACAAACCCCGTTATTCAATTAGGATATAGGTTTGATAGACCTAAAAGACAGACAACAACAACAACAACAAATTGACACTGGAGATACTAATGAGAACAATAAGGAGCATACCACTTCATCTTGGTTTTGTTGGACAATTTTCTCTGTATCAACCAAAAGAAATACATAATATCAGGCATTTAGCATAAATACAGAACACAATTTTGAGATTTAAATAATTTGTTAGAACCAAACCTCAGAAAACCTTCAAGCACATGGGTTTCAGTTTCCTCTTCAATACAAATTAAGGTAATTAATTCCATAGTTCAGGCAGCCAGTAAACTGCCGGAAGTGAGAGAATTGATTATTGAACTAAGTAACAATAACAAAGATATTACATCTTAAAAACAAATATGCCAGGATATATGCATGCTGGCACTCTTATGAACATAGATTGTAAAACTTGTATATGTATCTGTGAGATAAGATTTTATGTTCTGCACTTACATATACTTTTTTTATAGATGAAAGGAATTATCATTAATACAGATTAAGTGAGCATACAAACAACCTAAGAATACGCACAAGATGTGACCTCCTCTTTAAGGATGAAAGCAAAAACTCACACTAAACAGAACCCAGTTTACAAAGTAGCCCAATACAAAGAAACCCTTGAAATCCCTTGTTTAGCAAGAGAATCAGCCAAAATATTTGTTGACCTGCTAACCCACTGAAAACTGACATGTTTCTTGTAAAACATTTAACTCTTCTTAGGGGATCACTATAACCCCAATTAACAGTATCCGGATTCGACAACCAACCCACAGCCCTTGTAGAGCCTCCAACTCCCACTGGTCCTGAGAATAAGGAAAGAATGCTGCTGCCCTTATCTCTCAAAATCCCTCCTATGCCTGAGCTCCTGGATTACCAATTTACCTTGACTACTCTCATCAAAGTTTAATTTCACAACACCCTATGGAGGGGGTAGCCAACTAGCTTGTATTCTGCACTTACATATACTGATATTAGGAGTGCAGCTCTGGTTAGCTCGGGTTAAGATTTTACCAGTGTTCAATGAACCAGAACGGACATAGAACCGGAACAGGGAGAGGTTCATGGGTCAGAGGTTCAACCACAGTCAAACCAGAGGTTGAACCATGATGATGTGGCATATACATATATAGTTTACAGGTCATATAAATACTACATATAAAATGTTTCACAAATATAACTACACTTGCATGTGGTGGATAGGTGGCTTGTTTTTAAGTTTGTAAAATAAATGACCAAGGTTCAAGCCTCCTAATTCACATTTTCTTCAAAATGTGTGTATTAAAGCACTAAATACGTCAAAGAGGCACAAATAAATGCAAGCAAAGAGATGTATTGATGGTAACAAGACAATACATATAAATAAGAGGTCTTGGATTCAAGTCTCGTTATTAACATTTTGAAGTTTCTATTCATGTTATGACCCTAGTGGTTTCATAAAACCAGGACTGGTTCACCGGTTTTCCGGTTAAACCAGCCAGTCATCTGGTTTTTCATGAATTACAGTTTTTAGTGTATGACGAAACCGGCCAAAGGGCCAGATCATGGTTTAACTAGTTCGACCAACTGGTTCAGTTTGGTTTTCTAAACAATGCATTTTACATTTCTTTGGGCTCAGGCCTTTGGGCTAGGTCCATTCAAATTTTGACAGAAACCCAACCTGAGCCTGCCCAAGTTGTACCCCTAACTAACTATGATGTCTACTAAAGGGCCGAGTCACGATTTAACCGGTTCGACTACTGGCAGCCTGCCCTGCGAACCACTGGGCCTGGGCCTCGGGACAGGCTCCCCTCTTAGGGAATTCATGCCAAGCAGGCACACCCCACCAAGCACATGAAAAACTTATGATGAAACTAAACTACATGCCTAAAAAAGATTAGATTTCAATATCAAGGGGAGTATGGCAAGTCAGTTCTAAAAGGCACCATGGAACATGGATACATATAGAAGAAACACATAAATCATAGACATATACAGGAAAGTAGTTTATAAAAGGAGACATTGCTGAAAGACTTATTTCTTGTTTTTTTTATCGTTAAGTGGGAAAGTAGTTTATAATAGTATCAAACACCTAGGCAGCATTAGGCACCACATAGGATAATTGAAGTTGGAACACCCCCAAAATACTAGAAACATCTTTTTGATGTTTCCCTCCAACACCCCCATCCATATAGCCCAATGCAAAATGTGGTGTGGCTGTTTCCCAACCGAATACATTTGTGTATGTTAGTCACATCACCTATGTGGCACTTATATGGAGTCAAAATGCAAATTCAATGACACAGTACCAAAGACCTCTAAATGAATAGAAATGAGGTATACCAAACGCAAAAGCAGTTACTTTAACTGCTTATAATAAGCAGTACAATATCTTTTCAGATTAATGCACACAATATGCAGCTTAGATGATAAAATTTTAAGTTACTAGAAATTCCAGTCCAAAAAACATTAGAAGCTCAGTAACATGTTAAAAGTAAATGCACAATACTTTCAACTTATCCTTTTAAAGCATCTACAAAAAAGCAGCTATTATAAAATTTACAAATTACATGAATAGTTTAGTATGTCAAAATAAATAGATAATTAAAAATTGTAATGATAGTTTAAAATTTCTTTTAGCAATAAAGTTTATATATCTTAATATCTTTTTGAAATCTTAATATATTTATAACATAGTATTTTATTTCTATATGAATGCTTAGGTAGATCAATTCAAGAAAACTGATATGATTTATGAAATATTTAAGAATATTTGTAACTTTGATTTGTTTATGTTGTTACTAATTAAAACATAAATAAATAAAATCAATGAAAATCAATGAAGGAAAAGCATTATAAGCACATGTCCATTGATATTCCTAGACAGATATAGATAAGAATTCTTGCCTTGTAGGCATATCTGATTTCCTCAAAACAACAGCAAGCAACACTATTCACATTAGAGACCAACCAGAGGATCTTAATTTTCCACTCAGAAAACTTGATGAAAGAATCCACATGAGAGAACATTCTCTACAGAAATGAAAAATGACAGAACCAAACCTTTGCCAAGGGGCTCAAAGCGTATATGTCCTGGCCTAACTACTACAGGAACAACTTCATCATCCACATTTCCATCCTCCTCTGCTTCTTGATGTTTTGGGGATTGTTTTTGCGTATCTTTTTCAAGAATATTGTGCTGAATTAGCTGCTGGTCAAAAGATAGTAATCAGAAGACACATATTGTAATAATGACACCAAAGCTACAGTTTTGATTGGTATTGGTTGAGCACAACGGTCAGTTTTTTCTATAAACTTGTAGATGGCTGCATGCCTACAACACACACACGCACACATGAAGAATATTAAGTGTTCTCATGTATGATTCATTATCGAACAAGTCACTCACCTTCAAGAATGGGCAATCATTAGTCACCCAGCCCAGCCAGGGGTATGGCTAGGTCCAAACCAAGGTTGTTCTGCATGCTACACAGGCCAGCTTAGCCAGGGCCCACTATAATCACATACAATGACAGACCAGGTGTGGGCTATATGCCTTAAGGCCCAGTAGGCTCCAACATGGCCCCAGTAATACGAAGTTACGAACAGACACACAGACATGCAAACATGCGGGATTACAATAATGGATTTTCTCGTATTTCATTTTTTTAAGTCTTAGTTTTAAGTAACAAAACCTACATTATCTGTTCTAAGCTGTGATCCATGACTGAGTTGAACAGTTCAGCAGTTTAAACACCCAGGTTGGACGAATTTTGACCGAGTCAATGGGTTTTTGGGCATTGACGGGTTTGGATTTGAAGTTTGAACCAGACCATCTTGACCTCTGGATGATGGATCAAACGGTTCAACCATCCAGGTCAACAACGGGTTGATAGCACTGGTAAGAATGGGAAATGCTAGGGCCAGGTACAAATTTACAACTGTTTTGAATAGGGGCGGACACAAACCAAGCTCTTCACAAGCAATTTAAGCTTGGCTCATGAAAAGCTCGATCCGGCTAGATCTAAACCAAGCTTTGAGCTGATCTCAACCCAATATATAGGCTTGTTTACTAATTGAGCCAAGCTCGAGCCTTATGAAGCTCGGTTTGTGAAGCTTGCAAGCCAAATCGAGCTTACATTATATATAATATTTTTAATTTTTATAAGTATAATAATAAATGATTTTTATATGTATATTGATAAATAATTTCTATATGTATAATAAGAAATTATTGTTTATATGTGCACTTTTTATATATATAATCTTTATGTATATTTTTTAATTTTTATATGTATACTTTTTTACATATGTAATTGTTTATTTTTTATATGAAGCTTGGCTCACTATTGAGCTTGAGCCGAGCCGAGCTCGAACATATGAGCTTTGGGTCAAGCCAAATTCGAACTTATGTTTCTAGCTCGAATCAAGCTGGAGCCCGAACTCGAGCCTCATGTTCTACCAAGTTGAGCTCAAATAGCTCAGCTCGGCTTGAACCCATTCCTAGTTTTTTGATAAGTGAATCCACTCCTAGTTTTGAATAAGATTTTTTTTGATAAATTAATTTTGAATAAGAATTTGTGCAACTATAACTGTGACAATCTATGGCTATTTTGAATGATGATCTGTCCTACACTCCCAAGTCATTTGGAGCAATGTTTTAAAAATCGACCTGGAACTGGAACCTCTTCAGCCACCGGTTTCCGAGTCAGCAATTCGATCGTCCAGTTCAAACTGATATCCCATTGCAATTTAAAAAAAAATAATTAAAATAAAAAAAAAAACAGCCAAAAGCCGTTGTCCAGGTAGAAGGGATTGATGGTTCAAGCACCTGGGTCGACGGGTTGCTAACCAAGTTAACGGTTTTTGGCAAAATTCTGGTTCGGGGGTGAAACGGAACCAATTGACTAGATAGTTTCCGGGCCAAACAGCCAAACCGTCTGAGTCAACAACAGTTCAAAAACCATGATTTGGAGAGTAGTGTTGTACATTTTAACCTTCTGCTATTAATGATAAACATTGTTGCTGGTCAAAAACGGGAAAAAGTTCTAGAAAAAATTTTACATGAAAAAACAGTTACATTACCTCCAAGCCTTTCTAAAAAGTAAAGGACAAATACCTCTTCCTTCTGAGATCTAACCAGCTCCCGTAACCATCTTCTTTTGGCTTTTTTGCGTCGAGCACTTCTGCTGGGGAGCTGCAAAAGCTCAGATGTAGATGAGATATATGGTAAAGTAGTTTTCGGGACAGGAGCAAGTACCAAAAAAAGTGAAATTTTTAAACAAATAAACATGTGCAAATAGAAAAACTTGAAAATTCATATACTTTCTCATCAATAACAAGGACTTGGTGAATATTGTATATAGGTCATTACTTAATTCAGTGGTAGTTTGGTAAGACTTAATGAAAAATCAGTGCCATAAAAGCATACAAAAATTTTAAAACACAAATCGTTAACCTCCTATTTACCTTTGGGCTGCATTTGGTTTGAAAATAAAAGGTAGGGAAACCTGCACAAACCTTGTATAGGTTTCCCTTCCTTTCCCTACCTTTTCTTTCAAACCAAACAAAGCTTTGATGATTGCTCCCTTGGGAACCCAGTGCATTGTTTTGGTGGACCATTTAGAGGCTATGCAGGAGAAATCATATTAATCTACTCAGGACCAATAACCTCAATGGTTCAATGAGTGCAGATACTGGCACTTTTACATGGGCATGGACTGATATCTGCGTTCCAATTAGACAGGGTAGTGGAGACAGGAAACTCAAGGGCAGTCAATGGATGGATCGGGACTTATTCTGAAAACCGCTAATACTTTGTTATTATGCAAAATAGGCCAGCCCTTTGGCTTCCACAATGAACATCTCATTGAAATCTACATCAGCTAATACTCTAGCAGCACATGCTCTTGCAAGGGATGACATTGGGAAGAGTTTACTACATTGGGATCAGACCCTGCCAAGGTAGTTCTTTTTTTATAGTAAATGACAAGAAATTTTCATTAAGAATAAAGAGTTGACAAAATGGAAAGGTGATGAGACAATACAACAACACCCTTAACAATCAAAGAACAGAAGATTTTGACTCAAATCCAATTACAGCACTTGTAATGACAGTTCTAGAGTGGAGCAAAATGGGAGCCAAAAGTTCTTTGCAAACTTTTGAATTCAGGATGGACTAAAATCCAGTCTACTAGCATCTTTTCTATATCCAAGCATAACCTTTCAGTATCCTTTTGTCTACCATCAAATATTTTTCTTTAAGCTTTCTGTTGGACTTTTGTCCTTGTATTTATGGCTTGCCTCTTTTAAGATCTTTGGATCCTACCTTCCATGGGGGGTCATGATGAGTTTACTACTCTTTCTCTTTTCTTTCTCTCTAAATAAAAATAAATAAAATAAAATTCAAGTCATCAGTACAAACAAACACACAAACAAGTATATCTAAGCACATAAGGAGAAAGCTTATACCATTGCAAATTTCCCTACAAAAATTATACAATCCTTACATGGCTAGAATTCCAATACCAAGTCTTGTTTCACAAAGGTAACCTTTTATGACATTAAGGCATATTGAAAAAAAAAAGAATATACAAGGAGCTACATTTCCTATATGAAACAAATAGCCAAATAGCATATACAAAAGCTACACGTCCACGAATATGTCTACAGCTTATCTTTTATAGATAACCGTAAGATTTTGCTACTACCAACTGTAATAGATTAGGATTTGCAATGATGCACCAAATATTCTGTTGCGATCCCTTTGTCCCATGTTGGTAGTATGGGATGCTAATGTGAGATATCCCACATTGGTAGTATGGGATATTGTTGTGTGGTATATATGTGCTTGGGTTCCCTCCCTCTAATAGCTAGCTTTTACGGGTGAATTCTCCTAAGACACGTATCAAATGGTATCAGAGCCTACACCATACCTCCCAGTTGCAATCGTGCAGCGCAGGTGGTGGCGTTGGTATTGCATTGTTCAGCTAGGAATAGGTAGACTGGTGCAAAGCCAGTCTGCGTGGGCACCGGGATTGCAGAGCGTGGTGGAATGTTACGATCCCTTTGTCCCACGTTGGTTAGTAATATGGGATACTGTTGTGTGGTATATATGTGCTTGGGTTCCCTCCCTCTAACAGCTAACTTTTAAGGGTGAGTTCTCCTAAGACACGTATCATATTCACTGGAAGCTCTATCCTCAAACAAAGTCTCAAGTAGGTATGAAGTTATTGCTAATAAGAAAAAGTTTTTCCCACACCCAACCTTGCTGATCTATTTAATGTCAAATTCATTTATCTAGGAATCCATCTAAAATGGAATGACAAATAGGAAAAAATATATACTGATCTCATTGTGATAGTGAGCTGAGTCCCACATACCTTTGCCAAACCGAGTACTCCATCTAAATGCATTAGCTGCATCTCCTTCAGTAGTCAAGAAGGTGCAATGTAGTCATTTATCAATATATGTTTGGGCACAGAAAGTGCCCCTCCAAAGTGGCTTTCCTGGTTTAGACTGCATCCCTTGGCAAATGTCTCACCAAAGATAAGCCGAGCAGAAGAGGCAATCACGTTACTTGTCTTGACTGCCCCCTTTACAATACCACTCAGGAATCCATTGATTATTTCTAAACTTCCCGGTGAGCAGGCTCATTTAAAACCATTTTCTAACAATCTTCATCTGAACTGAGTCTTTCCTAGCTCTGTCACTGGTTTTTTGCATAGTTGGCTCATGGATGGACTTTCTTGGCAATGGTAAAATCATTTGCTGTATGCTGCCAGCGGCTGTTTTTTGGTCTATTTAGTCTGAGAGGAACAGCACAATTTTTTAGGGCAAATCTCTCAAATTGATGAAACTATACATAACATGACAGCAAAGATCTCTTGGGAAAAGGCATCTAAGGTTCCAACTGAAACCTCTTTTGTACTTAAATCTATATTATGTATTTTCTGGGGGTTTTCTCCATATGTTCAACTCCATTCAACTTAACTAAACCAAATGCATAACAATTTCCAACCATTTGGATTAGCCATAGATATTTTGTTTTGCCATTCCAGTCTATTTAGGATCTGAATATTTTAAAGTTGTGAATCCTCAAACTCTTCCCAACACTTAAGATATAGGTGGGTGATGGGATTAGGATTCAGGTTTTGCTATACAAAGAAGACATGGTTCAGGCTTGTTAAAGATTAGCCAACAAAGTGGTATTTGTCATCCAATGACTTGAAAGGAACTTGAATGATTAGGAGATTTATCATGGCTGCTTTAAATTCAATAAGCAACTTAAAATTCTGAACATTTCTGTGTTCATTTATGGACCCACTGCTTGGAGATATTTGGTGTTCATTGGTACTTTACTGAGAGAGAGAGAGAGAAAGAGAGAGTTTACTAATGTGAATCCTCTGAACTTATCTTTTGAACAACCCATTCTTTCCAACATACAACAATATTGATAGAGGGCATCTAACCATTATCTTAAGATCCCAAGGACCCCAATAATAGCCCATGACAGTTAGGATGGCCCACAAAAAAAATTGTTCCCCACTATTTCTCTCCAATATGGGCCAGTTAGACTTTTCTGGCATTATTCTTTAAGATCTCATATAGTAATGGAAATACCTTTAGAAGGGCTCATCACACAGGCAACCCAAAGGCCGCAAAAGGTTTAGATCATCTTCAAATTTGAATTAGTTCATGCTTTGTTATCTTTAACAGATCCAGAAACTTTATTAATCAGAATAAAAGGAAGAAATACAGTAAAAGATATATCCCATGTTGAATGCAGAGAACCACCTGGTTCACCCTAATTTCAAGTGTTTTCATGCCACACAACCTTCTTGATGGAAGAAAAGATCAAAAGCATAGATCTGAGTAAGCAAGATTCAAAAACCTCAACCAAATAACCCAATCAATCAGCCCTAAAAGATCATTTACTTCTTTTATCAGTCTCTGACATTAAAATCTGCAATCGTAAATCCTTATTACTTGCTATCTAAACCCTAAGACTACTATTATGAGCCCCAACCATAAGATCAAATATCCACAAGAAGCATCCTACATTAAATATCTTTATCTGATACTTTCAGGTTAAAAATAAAAGCAATGAAAAAATAAAGTATAAGCCACGACATTATATGGAAGAATTAAGCATATAACAGTTTAAAAGAAGTAAATACAATTTTTGTTTACCTTCAAAAAAAAAGAGTAAACAGATAGCAGTTTAAACCTAAGATGTACAGATACAAATACAAAAACAGATATGGGAAACAGAAAATGACTCCTCATTCCAAGACACAGATCCAACCATAGAGGTATGGACATCCCATTTAATAAAAGATCTACTATGCTTTGAATTTAGTTTTTTTTCTAATATAAATATTATTTCAATGCTTATACCTTGTCAAGTTCAATTTAAACTTTAAAATCTATAAAAATTTCTTAGTCTGATTTGTTAAAATATAATAGGCTAAAGGGCATGCTTTTGAAGTGTCCTTGCAAATTGCAATATCTAGCATCATGCCAGGCATGTAACATGGGTCCAAGCAACAAAAACTCTTCCAAAACCTTCAAAAATTTTAAAGAAAAGTAATCTGAACAATCTTTTGTTTAGATGAGAATTTTGCATAGATTTACAATTCACACCAGGTCAAGGTGATGCAGTCATATTTTTCATTCCAGGATCATGTTTTTCAGACTTTTTGTTTCCTTCACTGTCATTAGGACAGGCCCATTTCCTATCTTATGCTTTTTTCTCATAATGAAGTGATGAATGTCAAACAAAAACTTACGCTTCTTCATAATTCTAAACTTGATCGAGTAAAAATAAATTGTTTCAATTGGCAATCTACTGATTTGCTTTCAGAGCTAAGATTTTCTACATTCTGCCACTAATGCATCCTCCCTGCAAAATAGCTTTTAAGTTTTAAAGGCTTTTCATGAATTAATTAAGTCTATCCTTTTTGACCTATGTGCTCATATGAAGTTTGAATCAATTCATGGCAATATCTTCACAGAACTTCTTTATGTTAGTTAAGCAATAAACAGATTTCTCCAGTCCTGTCATAACCTTGCAGCTTCTCAAAGTGAAACTTACATGAACTACAATTTCAGTAAAGGAAGAACCCATCTTGTTATTCTTCAAAAAAATAATAATAACCCAGATATCAATTAGGCTAAAACAAACCTTTCTGATTCCCTCTGGAACATGAGAACCATCAACACCTTCAGCATCATTTTCTTGAAGTTGACCACATCTACACAATTGAAATGGACATTCAGATGCATTTATTGGGCTAGAATAAGAATAGGATAAGGAGTCAGGAGGCATTAATTGAGTGAATTACTGCCAGAGTGGCTCATTGGGCCAAGACCATGGATATATTCTCAATTTTCTCAACAGATGGCATTATTAGGAAGTAGAGAGAAGTGGCAACTGCTCCATCTAAAAAGAGTACAGGCAACAAGAGTTGGATTCCACCTGAAAGAGGGTCCTTAAAATTAAACTTCAATGGAAACAGTAGGGGCAATCCGGGGATTTTAGGAGTTGAGGTAGCTTTTAGAAACAAGGAAGGTAATATTGTTGCTTTGTTTTCAGGTCCAATAGGAATGGGAGACTCCCTAAGGGCTGAAGCTATGACAGTCATGGAAGGTGTGCAAAGGGCAAAATAGATGAATGTGGAAAGGTTGATTATTGAAGGAGATTCAAAATTGGTGGTTGGGTGGTTGCAAAACAGAAAGGCTACAATGTGGTGCTACGGTAATGAAGCAAAAAAGTTCAGGTGGTTACTGAGAGTTATGGAGGCGAGGGTTTCTTGGATCCCAAGGGAAGCTATTAGCTTGGTAGATGCTCTAGCAAAGCGCACACACAGGGAGGGGAGGACAAATGTTTTGGGCACAATTATAACTCAATTGTAAGAACGACTAAAGGGTACTCAAGGGGTAGAGATAAGATTCCTTGTCACTACAAGAGAGATTGTGCATAGATTAATCTCTTGCAATTAATGAAATTCTAACAGTTATTGATAAAAAAAAAAAAAAAATAGATGCAGTCTAGAACCCAAGAGTGGAAATCTTCCACCACTTGAAAAGGTCAGATAAGAGGATATGTATCAGTAAACATCATGGAAACAGAAACGTGAAACCAGAATGTAAGGCATCACACTTAGAGGAAGAACTAGAAAGAAGCCTATGATTTTATGAAAACATGCTACAAGTTTCATATAAAAGATGCATAAATGAAGTGTATGTACAAGCATACTGATGCAGGCAATGGTCATACAAAGATAGGAACAATAATATGCAATTTGCTTATCAGCAATTACATGCAAATTCCAGAGCCCCTGACAATGATGTTGACATTTTAAAAGAAAAGGGAAAACTAACCGGCAAGCATGGGATAATTTATTATACATAAATAATTACTCAATATGAAAATTCAAGTATATTCACTAGTTCTTATCAACAATCTAAATCCATGAAATCAAATATGAAAATAAATGACAGAACCTACCTCTCTTCGTTGGATGTAGACTCACAGTAGTTAATCCTTTCATCAATTTCAGGAGCACTTATAACATCTGATTTTCCACATTTATTGGAGAATTTATTCTTCTTTTGAAGATTTTTTGGGGAGACAACTCCATTGAGATGACCACTTTCATTTTTCTCTATATCAACATCACATTCAACACCTTTGGGGACCACTAGACATTTTTCCTCGCTAGTAGACTTAGCTTTCTTCCTCCTGTAATTTAGGGAATCATATAAGTGGTGAAATACATACCGAAATAATTGCACTGTTATTAAACATCTAAAAGCTGCTAAAAATATTTCAAACCAAAAATGTACAGCAGCTCTGCACAATCATAGAAATGAGAAACTTGTTAGACAAAATGCAGCACACTATGCAACTAGTGTCAATATCAATACAATAGCAGATATGGTCAAGAAATTATAAAGGAAAACTGCAGGAACATTCCACTTCTATAAAGTTTACATCAATATGTGCATATATGTTCTGGAGAGACCAGCATCTCATTTCAAATACAAACTCAATATTTTCTTTTGTCATAACTTAACAATCTTAGTGATGCAAGCTAATTTAGATTAAAAGATTAAACACAGCCAGGAAATATCAGGTAAACTAATCACAGATGATGTAATATTTGCAATTAATTATAGTACAAAAGCATATTGTATAACTGCTAACAAGAGAAGATACGATAAGATACTAGTAGAAAACTTTCAGCATATTTATAATCTTATATAAGTAGCACTCCCAAATCAGAGATCATAGAGATTAGGAGAATCCCTATAAGACAGAAGGACATGAAGAAATACTTTGAATTCTGGATTTTCTTTGATGATTTCCTTTTCTTTGATATTTTTTGCCCACTTGATGTATTTACCACATGCAGTGTATCTTCAATGCGATCATCTTCCTCCTCTTCAGGTTCACTTTGGTAGCCACCAGACTCTTTCTCAAATTCCTCAAAAGCTAGAAGCTCCACCCTTGTAAGCAAAGGTCGCTTCTCCACAATTTCAGAATCCTCTGCATAATTTTTCTTTTCTTCCAGCCTGGATATCTCTGTTAATGTATCTCCTTTCTTTTTCACCCTGGTATTAACATCAGAACATTATAATTTGAAAAAAAATAGAGAAAAGAGTGCATTGTAACATATACAGCCGTACATTACAAAATATTCATAATTAACCTGATAATGTCTCTGTCTTTTAAAATTTGGGTTGATTCAAATGGTGGTAAAACGAATCCGTCCATCTGCAAGTAGAACAGAACAGCATGTTTAATTATACGTACGTAACCAGTCAAAAGGAAGAAAGGCAATCCCTATACCATGAAACTTGGATCATTTTTAAACATCAAACGTTAATAGGAAATCTGGAAATGTCCAAGAAAAAACATGTGTTTTCGTCAGTCTTGGCAGAATTCTTTTCTGGATAATGCCATTCGGATATTTGCCATTAAACAACAAAAAGTATTAACGAGCTTCCACGGGCGCGTGCATATGGGATATTGTTGTCGTGGATTGCTTAGCTTTACTGAGGGATGTTTGGTAATTAGCTTCCCAAGACCATGTAGTCGGTAGTCACCCAACATTACCAACTAGGCAACTACTCAAGCTAGCTATATTTGTTAGTTCGTTTTGCCTCCGATGATAACTTAAAGTCCGGCAATGACCGCCGAAATTTCTCAGGCCTAACCCTTAAAGCACAAAGAAAATACCTAATTCGAGAAACCAGATATACTCGACATTAAATGGAGAAGAACAAAACAGATATATCCTACAGATAGGCAACTGTGAAACCTTAGTCCCAGCAATAGAATGATGTCACCATATTCATTTTTTCGGTGATTGTTGTTGATGATGAAATTATAAAAGAGACGAAGAAAGATACTTACGGAGAGGAGGAGGCCATTAGGGCAAGATTCTTCGAGGTCGAAAGTGCGAATTAGATAAGATGAGAGATCGGAGACGGTTTCATGTTCGGGCTTTAGAAGAAGCCAGCATCTCTTCAGCCCATTTGACCTCTGAGATTTGTTGAGAAGATGACGATCGCCGAAAAGCAAACGGAGTCTCACACTCCCCATGCAGATTCAGGTAGAGAGGGGATAGTGAACTACTGGACTCCACTGTGCAAGGCTATGAGTGAACAACAATACACTAAAGTCTGCTCTGTGTTTGTTGACGGCTTGACGCTTAAACCCCTCGAGTGGGATTTAATGTTCTATCTTTTATGCACAACCACTTGGCTCATGCTCACCAAAATACGCGTCCTTGTGTGGGGAGAAGAACAGCGATTTGGCGGGAGCTTGTTAAAAATGGATCCAAAGGAGGACAGAGGAGTTTGGACTTTAGTCCATTTGCTAAAAATGGACCAGTTTGATTTTGAATATTAAGTATTAACATCGCACAAATTCCCAAAAGCCACCTTAGCGTAAGAATGTTTATGGGCCGGCCATGCGTGAGGTAGTAGCTGACTTTAGAGCTGTTTAGGCCCGGCCTGATCCGCGCCCCAGGTCTGATAGCATATGCCACGGCCTAACCTGGTGCAGGCGGGATTTGAATAGTTGATCTCAAGTCTCCTTTATAAATTATGGTCAGAAAGAGACCTTATTATTAGTAAGCGCTTTTATTTATGTTTTTTTATTTTTCAAAATGGCCATTTTAGTTATAAAAATCTATTATTAAAATATATTTTTGATTCATCCAAGTGTTGATAATTTTCTCCTATATATGAAAGTTATTTATTCACCTAGGAGATGGATACCAAGAAAATAGATTTTCCCTAATTCCCACATAAATCTGAAAAAAAAAAGAATATACCCACTTAATAAAACCATATTTTAAAAATAAATTAAAGTTTATAATGAAGTTTATATGCTAGTGCAAAGGAAAAATTATGTAAGTGGACAATTAACAATTAACCTCATACGATAATTTGGATTTAATTTTTATGACCAGACCTAAGGTTGTAGGACAGGTGAGATTCCCTTCCTAATTAGTTTATTCAATGTGAATACATTTGTTGATGGTATTCTGTACATATTTCTTACGATTGTTGTTGTCATCATTTTAAATGACAACATACAATACAATAAGGCTATGTTTGGCAAATCTTATAATAAGGTTTTGTTTGGCCAAACTTTTGAGAATATCTATTGGACTTGACAACTAAATATTGGCAATTGAAAGTCCACTCGACCAAAAGATCAAAACCAAAAAAAAAAAACTGGATCTTTTACCTATTATCGTTCCCATATCTCTACCCAAAGAACACCATTGTCCATTATCGTGTATTGGGAACATTTCCTCATGAATGGTGATGAGGGCGGATTTGGCCCTCCATTGACATTATGACACCTGGCACCTCATGCCAATTAAGTGCAGCCTCTTAACAACTAGACAGCTCGAGCTCGCCACATGCAGCTCGCCACCTTGCAGCACTTACAGGCAGCTCACCCTTGTGTAGTCTAGCACCTCAAAACAACTAAGTGACACTCGGGACCACTTTAGCAACAACTTACCTTTGCTAAGTTGATGGTGTCCCATCAGGCGTAGCCTGGCACAGGCGCGACCTGGCAGCCTGGCCTTGGCACGACCTGGCAGCCTGGCCCTGGCATGAGATGGCGGCCTGGCCCAGGCACCGACCTGGCGACCTGACACAGGCACCAACCTGACAATCTCGAGGAGCTCACCACCGTACCCCGCATTTTACGGGACTGTGACTTGTAACGGCTATATTAGATCACCCACTCCCCCAGTTCTGATGGAAGGGACAGTATTACCGTTTGACAGCGTTTCACCCACCTAACACGAAAGCATGTCCCATCACAGCGGGAATCTAAGAACTACTCCACCAAACCCACGAGGACTCTAGTATATAAATACCTCACCCCCCAGGGGCAAAGGAGGCCAAGATGCTGAAGGAGGAGGTGGTAACCCCTGCTCTCTAGCTCTCTCATTCTCCAAGCTCTCTTTACTAAGTGCTAACTTAGCCATCAGAATGACCACGTTGGGTAAACACCCCCGGGTCCTCTAACATCTGGTTCCTTGCAGGCCTCTAAAAGAGCAACAAAGTTCAAGGTAGCTCACCACTAGGCAGTTCACCACTGGGTAGCTCGCCACCAGGGAGCTCCACTTCAGCCTCTGAGTCACCAACCACACGGGAGCAGACGAGATGACGAGGTACTTAGCCAAAAAATTGATACGTGACCAGAAACGGTTACATCAAATGGTAAAGGAGATATTCCCAATGCACAACTATAATATCTTGTAGGTACGGATGTGGGTAAATTATAGATAGGTTTGTGGACAATAACACTTAAGGCCTTGACTTTCAAGTGCAACACTTAGTATCATAAACTTTCGAAAATATATACACAAACCTAACACCATTGCCCGACATTACCACATGATAGCAAAATTACCAAGTTGCCCATTATCTTTTGATTTATTTAAGATTAATACCACAACTTAAGGGAAAATCAAACAAATTGCAAAAACAATTTAAGAGGGTGTAATGGTTGTACTAGCAGGGATACAAACAGATCAGATTGGATTCAAATCAAGTTATATTCGGATCTAGTTTGACATTGTTCATGTCGAATCTGATCTGATCAAATCTGATAGGCCTTGATTTGAATTCGAATCATATCAGTAAGTTAGATCTTCGAATCTGATCTGATCCGACTTTCTTTCTTTAAAAATTAATAAATTAGTAAAAGAAAAATAAAATATACCAATTTAAATAAAGAAAAACAAAAAGTACAAGTATTTTTTAATTATGTTCATCATATATATACATGTTTTTTATAAAAAAGATAAATAATATAACAATTTTATAAAAATGTAATATAAATAATATATTTATAAATAACATATATCAGATCGTATCTTCTTGGGGTCAAATGGGGGTGATCCAAATCCAATTCGACCCGAATATGACCAAATAAGATCGGACCTTGAACTGAATCATGATCTGATCCATTTGCACCCCTATACTAGGATGGAACATTGCTCTATAGAACCCTCGTGCAAGTCCATCCACGAAGAAAGAGCTTATGAATCTAAGATGAGTTGGGTGACACCACTGAATTCTCGAAAGTTAGAGCCTGTTTGTTTCCTCTTAACTCTTGTCTCTTAAGAGGGATCTTTTAACTTCAAAGGTTGTTCGTTTCCTCTTATCTCTTATCTCTTAAAGTGCAATCATACAACTTTTTTGTTTTCCAATAATACCCCCAACAAGACAAAAAAAATCTCATAAATAGGGTCAAAATGGATGCTTGATAATATAATTTTCATAATTCATAACAACATTCTCTACATTCAGAGTTCAGAGGAAAGAAAAATTCATCAATACCAATATACTTCTTAATGTAATTATTGCACTTTAGATATTAGACTTCAAAGCAAACAAACGGGCCCTTAGTGTACTCCAAAACGGAATTTATAATATTTATGCATTGAATTCTCAAAAGTTAGTGTAATCCAAATGAAAATTTATAAATGATTAAATGCTTCTATGGGTCATATGCAGTATTTTGATTGGAGCATGTTCAATAACAATGCCTTCAAATAGAAACCGAGGTCATCCCACAAACAAAAACACAGGGGCAAAAAGGGGGCCCAAAATCTAAAGTTGATTAGACGAGGGGGTAATAAATGGGGCCATAAGGAGGGCCAACCATTGGGTGAAGAGTATGGAAGGGGGAAATTTTACAAAAAATATTGTATTACAAATGGAAATTTCTAGACCAGGGGGCGGGGGATGGGATGTTTTTTTTAGTGGAAACAATTGTACCAATAAATTTAGAGGCATTTCATCAACAATCGATGGTGAGAATGGGGCAAATGGGTTTCAAAAATTCGGTCACCCAATAGTCACGAGATGATTTTGGTTGGGACCCTATGGCACCTCCCAAAAGACCGCTTGGGACTTTGATCATTGTTTCCGACCCGCTATTGGCAGGCCGATTGAGCTGTTCGAACTGACATCCGGTTAAGATTCCATGTTCAATTTTAGTAAAATCCACTAGATGGTCAATAACCATTTGATTCGAATGGTTGGACCATTTACCCATTCAACCTGGTGGCTGAATCATGTGTTGCACACTAAATGTGTATGCAAACTTCGGGAGGCCATAACTTTGCAACCCGATGTCTGAATGAGGTGATTTTTTTATTTTGGGTAACTTTTTGAGGTCTATGCATCCCAAAGCACCACAAAATTACAATATAAAAAATTAAATCATAATTAAAAAGCATAAATTAAATACAAAATAATATATATTACATGTGGAATATAATTGTATATTGTTTTATTGATAAAATATGCATTTATACATACCTATACGCACACGCACACAGACATATATATAAACCAGTGACTTCTAACCCAGATGCAAAAATGGTTCGGCCTTCAAGTCAATTTTTTAAACCATGCCTTTGATGCTGCCCTCTTTTGCTTACATGGTTGCAATGCCAAGTTCAATTTCCACGAAAAAAAGAAGAAAAAAAACAACAACAGAGATTCCTCATGGAGGATTTCTTATGAGAATCCATAGAAGGAGCGTTTAGATCTTTTACTGTTGGATGCTAGAGTACCCTTCACCTTCACCCGTCTTCGGTGAAGGAAGAGAGAGATTCCCTGATAGTTTAGCTAATTGACTAGTCTTATTGTTTACATATTGTCTTAAAGTATCAATAGGTTTTTCGACAATTGTCATTGTCATTACTCATTAAACATTGATGAAAAAAGTAAAAAGTCAAAATTACCCTTCATTATTTATCAAAATATCAACAAGAAAACAATATATCAAAGTTACCCTCCAATCCCAAGCGTCAATTAATCGATCACCTATCAGGCATCAGCCATGGCGGTCTACCACCTTATACCAACCACATTGTCGAGGGAGCTAACGGATGGTTCTTCAACCCCACTACCAACACCCTCGTCACCGATTGCACCAAATGGGTTGCTACTCAAACCTTCAACCTCGGAGACTATCTCAGTAACCTAACATCTCTCTCTCTCTCTCTTTGGTAATTAGGGTGATAAGATCGAGGAGTTGTTCACGGTGGTTGTGCTGCTTGTAAAAGTGGAGCCTACCTACCAACCTCAACCAGCCGCTTCCTCCGCCCTACACCAAGCCTCAAATTACTGAGGATTGGAGCTTATAGCCGGTCATCGATTTATGGCAGTGATCGTTCAATTAGGAGAAATCTTCCAAAGAAGATTGGGATAAAGAGCTAGGAACAAGCCAGGAACGAGTGAATTCTTTAGTAGCACATTGGGAAAATGATCAATCCATTCTTGTTGCATTATGGGCAGCGGTTGGGCCATCCATCACAATGTATCCATGAGTAGGCCATTGCACGAGCCACCAAAGTGACTAGTCGGGACTCCTGGCAAGGGCACCTGGAACTTCCATTGTTTGTGCAAGCTCACCACCTCGTTGACTCCTCCAATGTATCTCCCCTTTGCAAGAACGACTAAGACTCCTTGCAAGAGTAGTTTAAAACCTCCCTTGTCATTGATCATTCGGGTGACAACACCGTATACTCCAAGTGTGGCCTCATCCTCAAATGTCAGAGGATCTTGAGTTGAGGTTTAAACATGATTTGCTCCTTGTCAATGATTTTTGGGCGGGTGTTCAAAGATTTTTGTGATTTCAATGAGATTCCACTTTGTGGATTTGAGGAGCACTGAAGAATTGGTGTGAATCGGCGAACCCTTTCCGCTACCACCATGAGATGGTTTATATTTAGGAGATTCCACGATTCCAACCAAAGAAGTAGGGAATTTGGAGCTCATTTTCCATGTTGAAACCGACGTGCTCGACCTTCCTCTCTTCCCAACTAGAATCGCCCTCTTAAAGCTGTAATTATGCACCAACGAAGATGGAGACAATGATGAAGAGCATCCCTGTTTTTTATCTTGCAAGTCCTCCAAGTAGACCCTATATACTTCGATTATGTCTCAACATTATCCATTGTTTTCACAAATTATCTTCAAACATTATAGTCTATTAATCCACGGAGCCTCTCTCCCTCACTCTCAAACGGTTCCAATCGTCACATAGGAAAGCCTTCACTTGACTCATCACCATAGGGTATACTGTTAGTTTTTTCTCCAGTTAGAAAAGGGCATTTTAGGGATTTTTAAAAATTTATCAGTCACCTGATGTTACATATGAGCGGAGTGTGATGATAAATTAACGACAATGGAGATTTTAGACAATTGTCAAAAAACTTAAGGATACTTTAATCTTCCCCAATAGGGCTACATAATCTTCATTTGTTTTGGTTCCCTAGTCTTCGAAAACTTTTTCCCAGCTTATGTTCAATGAGTGTGGGGCTGCAAAGTGTAAACGGATCAAATCAAATTCAGATTGGGTGTAAACAAGAAAAAACCATTATCCAATTCGATTCATACAAGTTGCCCTGTAAACAAAATCAATGGCGGCCAAGAAAATTAAAACCCCAAAACACAAAACCACACAATAGTGGCTACAGATAAAGAGAAAAGCAAAAACCCCATAATTCAGAAGTGTACCATTTCTCAATCCGATGTTGGATGCTTCAGTGTTAATATTGTAGAGAACACCTTCATAATGGATTTTTGCTCTTCAATGTCAAACTAATCAGGTTGCCGATGTAGAAATCGGTCGACCCACTAGATCTTGATGCCTCTACTGCCATGATTTTAGCAATAGAAACAAATACAAGGCAACATATAGAGAGTTATTATTTGTAGCGAATAGAGAGAACCTTGGTGTTTTCCTTCTCCACAACAGGTGGCATGAGGGGACCGATGAACATTGCCAGAGAGCTATTATTCGTTGGGTCATTGTAAACGAGAGGCAATGAGAGTTGGTTGTGGGGCTTCAATTTCCTATGATTCTCTCTCTCACCGGGGTCATACCATTTCAGCACGACCCCCTTGTCCTTGATTTTGGGAATTGGCATCACACGGTTTCCCTTCCCATCTCGATGAACAAACACCCAAAAATAAGAATGTTCAACCCTAGACTATGTTTGGTTTGAAGGAAAAGGTAGGGAAAGGAAGGGAAGACAGGGAAACCTATACATAGCCTTACCTTTTCTTTCCTTTCCCTACATTTTCCTTCAAACCAAACATACCCGTAAGGTATTCAACTTACACTTGAAAGTTCAACCCCTCAAGTGTCGCTGCCTACAAAGTACAGTACCTATCTTTAATGTGACGGGATCTGCTCTTCACATATGAGCGCCTCATAGGCACATCCACCGTGCATTGAGAACATCTCCCATAAATAATAACAAATAAGTACGGAAAATGTTCCTAATGCATGATAGGATTGCGTATGAGGCGCATGTGAGGAGCAGATCCAGTCTCATTTTTAATTTACTCTGATCGAAATCTGGGAAACCAAAAAAATTGGTCGAACCAACGAAATCCCTCACCCTCATTTCTCAGTTCGACAACTCTGCATTGAGCAACCAACGTCGAACAAACGAACGAACGAAAGAAACCAGTGTCGAAACAGGCACTATTCTCTTCTTCTTCCTTTGATTTTCCGCTGTTTTTCCCTTTTTTTCCCGATGATTTCTTCTTCTTTTTCTTCGATATTCTCTTTGTACAAGTACTAACCGTACCTTTTTTTTTTTGTGTAGGAAGTTAATAAGACTCGCCTTAAACGTTGTATTTAGGTACAATCCGCCCTCCTCTTCTCTTGTTTTTCGGATCCCTATTATACACTAGGGTTGCAAGATGCCTTTCGCATTTAGGGTTTATTGTGTTCGCCCAAATCCATGTTCTATAATGCTATCAATTACGTTTTTTTTTTATATATATCTATTGATTTTTAGTCATATGAACTGGAATTTAAGTAAATCATATATTTTTTATACATTAGGTTCGCCCAAATCCAATAGACCCCTGAGTCTTAAGTACACATCCTCTGAACTGGATTTTAGTTATACCTTCAATTGCTACTATGTCTTATTCCAGGTCGTGTATGTATCGTGCAACAATTTGCAACATATCTTCTACGAAAAAAACACGTCTTGTTCTACATATTATTCTAGGTTTATCTTTCATTAATTAATTGATGTTTATATCCATGCAACTTGTATTCACGTTCAATGTTCTTGGCATTCAAAACGAAATTGCACAATGATTCCCAGTCATTGTGGGTTGACTGGGTTCTATCCAGCTGCGGCAGTCCAGCAGAAAAAAAAAAAAACAGAAATGCAAAACAACACTGAATTGTTACTTCAATAGGGGAGGGGGACATGCTTCCCCTCCTCTTGCTCCCTTCCACCACTAAGAGCAAAAGCTGAGCAAAGCAAAGCCAAGGCGCTTGAATCGTGATTTGTGTTTTTAAGCTTCTAGAAGGCATTCCTTTTTAACCTCTTTGTATTGTCATTTTTAAGCTTCTAGAAGGCATTCCTTTTTAACCTCTTTGCATTGTCTATGGTTCTGAATCATTGTTTTTCCTTGTGATAATCTCAGAGGTCAGAGCATGCTTTGGATGAATGACTGAATTGTTGGGGCCTGGCCCAGATATGAAGTAGATCAGCCCCACCATTAGATTTAGATAGACAAAATTATCCTTAGAGCTAGAAGAAGAAGATGGACCAAACTATGTCAAGGAACAACAGTAGGGGTGTTCATCACCGAACCATGGTTTTGTTCTGGACCTGGTTAATTAAATTAGACCTGGTTTGTTTTATCTAGAGTGGCGGCACCTTCAGTTGATTTTCCATTTTTTGGTTGAGAGTTGAGATCTTATTTGGTTGATAGGATTGGACATATCTAGAGTCAAGCACAATGCAATAGCTTAATGGACTGTTTATGTGTTTGAGTGTTTCAGGCAATTCAGCACATTGACATAACCAAAAGTTATCTTATGCATTTAGTGTTGCTTAGCAAAAATAGGGTTGTGGTCTTTGTCACTTGCCTCGTATCCTTGACTCAGAAGATTAGGACCCACCATTGAATGACTTGGACCATTGGTTCAATGCACTATTCTGTTAATTGGAAAACCGGATTCAGGTATCTTGGACTCGGAGGCTCACTGACATTCTGGAAGGCCCAAACAAGGCACTGAGCTGCAATGATATTGAATTCCAGTGTTAGTATTATATATCCTGTCCCTGCTCTACCATAATCTTCCTTGAAAGCGCCATCACTAAATATTTTGTATGTCTTTGCTTGATCTTCCCCTTGGCTGAGTTCTTGCTTGTACCTTCTGTCAATTACTGTTGCCCTTCTTAGGAGCATACTGATATGTGTTAATGATAATTGAAGTCTCTTTTGAAATGAGTTATATCAATGAAGGAAGTCAAAGAAATCAGTGAAACTGTAATTTATTGATTTTGTATTCTCTTGTCAAGAATGTGGCATTGTTAAATTGATGGAAACACGGGGAAAATAAATAAATAAATGAATCCATTTTTATAAGACCTCTTCTTTTTCTTCTATTGCAGGAACTTCCATAACTTGCTTATACCTGTCTTCTTGCAAAATAGAGGTGTAAAAAAACCTATTTGGGTCTAATGTGATCCCAGGTCAATATTATTTAACCATCACGCACATAGATATACAAAAACGGAAACTACATGTCAATAACTAAGGAAACTTGTAATGAAAGAGGAATAGAATTTAAACTCAGTAATCTTACAATTATCCTTCATTTCGTTCATTTTTATTGGCTTTTATCTTGTTCATTTTAATTAAAACTAACCTAGATCTAGTCTCCTTTGACATAACATCAAACAGTATTTCTAAAAATTCCACAGCATGTTGGACACTCGTTACATGATAAAAGATAATTGTGAGGAGAGTGACAGTATTGTGGTCCCACATATCATGTGTCCAGATGCCATGATTCTAAGATGCTCCATATGTCTCTTGTCAAATCCTGGATTTGTATGCATTACTTCTCACCTCACTTACAAATAAGAGTTCCAAGGGTGAGAACAAATCTGGTCAAGAGTGAAATGATGAGTGTTGGTGAGGTTGAAAACCTTTCAATACTTGGCCGAGCTGCTTGGATGTGAGATTGTTTCATTCCCAACTAAATATTTGGGGTTTCCACTGGGAACCAGATGCACTTTAAATCTATTTGGAATCAGGTTCCAGTCCTGGAGAAGATAGAAAATTATCTCCCAAAAAGCTAAATATCTTTCCAAAGGAGGTAAATTAACTCTCATCAAAAGTGTGCTGGACAGCATACCAACATACAGTGATTTAAAAGGCTCGCCTAGGCGCACAGGCGAGGTGCATTTCAGGGTATGCGCCTCGCCTAGGTCCTAGGCGCAGTCCTTTCAAAAGGGGCATGCGCTTGATGTGCCTTGCGCCTCAGCCCAGGCGTGGCACAAAGGCGGCTCGTAGAATCAGGAATGTAATATGTTTTACATTACATTAGCTACATGAAGTAATGCAATTGAGTGAAAAAAGAGATTTAGAGGTTTTAAATGCTTGAAAATGTTTTATATGTTTGATTTTATTTTTAAATTCTCATTTGAATATGCTTTACATAATTACATCTTATGTTTATGTATTTTAATTTTAGATAATAGGTTTTTTAAAACATTATTTTAAAATTTAAGTTTATATATTTTTTATAAATATTATGTTTAGTATTTTTATATATTTTTTTGAAAATTTTGGCATTTTTTTTAAATTTTCTGACATTTTTAATTATATATATATATATTAAAATATTATGTTTATATTTTTTTAATTTTTAGCAATTTTTTTATAATTTTGCGCCTTGCTTCAAAAAGGTGCGCGCCTCACCTTGTGCCTTGTGTCTTAGGCGCAAATTGACCCCTGTGCCTTTTTTGCGCCTTGCGCTTTTAAAACACTGCCAGCTTACTATATGTCCTTATTTCCCATACCATCAGAAGTTGCTGAAAAAATTGTGAAGTACATGAGAGAGTTCCTATGGATTAGGTGGAAGGATTCACCTAGATATAATCTGGCAAGATGTGACCAGATTTGCAAACCCACAAGTTGTGGAGGATTGGGTATTAGAAAGGTTAAGTTTGTTAACCTTGCGCTGATGGGAAGATGGTTTTGGTGGCTTGCTATGGAAACCAATGATCTATGGAGACAATTAATTGTTGACAAATATGATCTTCAATCCAATGGGTGGGATGCGGGTCAGCCTGACAGGCTATATGGCTGCAGTGTATGGAGAGAAATTAATAAGGCTTATCCTTATTTTCTTAAAGGTATGAATGAGATTTTGGGAGGACACATGGTGCAGGGAGAGGCCCCTGAAAGAGTTGTTCCCATATTTATTTCTCTTGGATGCAGATAAAGAAGCAATGGTAATTGGCATATACTCATGGCTGGGATCATATATCATGGGACTCCTTTTCAGAAGGAATTTCAGTGATTGAGAGTTATCCCAAATTGCAGATCTGCTGCACCTCCTCCAAAATCAGAGAACGAACCCCCGATCCCCGGACACTAGATGTTGGAAATAGACGAAGTCAGGCCTGTTCACTGTTAAATCCTTCTACAAGATGATGAAGAGTGATAATAGACATGGTTTTCCATTGAAAGCAATATGGGCACTGCTGCACCCTCTAAGATAAAGTTTTTTGCACGGGTAGCTACAGTAGAAGTGTATAAGGAAATGTTGGTGAGAAAAGGCATGAGCCTGGCTGACACATCATGCCTCTTGTGCAACATGGATCTGAATTGGCTAGCAGCAAGCTACCTATTTTACATTACAGATACTCCAGAATTTGGGAACACTTAACAAAAGCTTTCCCATATTTTTGGTGCATGAGCATCTCCATCAAAGACCTAATGGCTGGATGGCATATATTGGGCATGAACAAGAGAGCCGTTGGTGAAATCTCACCGAACCAGCTTCTGGGTTCGAATGGGGAAGGGGAGGTAGTAGATCGCTGGTGGTTTTGGTGCGACCCCTCCAGCTCCTGCTTCTGGGTTCGAACGGGGAAGGGGAGGTAGCAGATTGCCGATGGTTTTGGTGCGACCCCTCCAGCTCCTGCCTCTGGGTTCAAACGTCTCTGTCACCGAACCAGCTTCTGCTTTTGTATTCTCCACACAAGCCGTTCCTCACTCCCTCCTCTTTCTCAAATTTTTCTACCGAGGTCGCACGGTTTTGGTGTGACCCCAAATCCACGATTTTGGGATCTGACATCCCACATTTTTCTCATCCCATCCCTCTCTTTCCCTCAAAACAAATGAGAGAAAAAGGAATATTTTTGGAATATTCCCTTTTTCTCATCCCCATCCCACAAACCAAATGGAGCCTAAATGTAGGTTGGATGTACAAAAACTCTTTGTACAGGGGACCTTACACATCTTTTGTATGCTTTTGTTTTTCAGTTAATACAAATATACTTTTACCCTCTCTCTCTCTCTCTCTCTCTCACACACACACCCAAAAAAAAAAAAAAAAGAGAGATCCAAGAACTTAAAGCAAGATTTTGTCTTAAGGAGGTACAAAATGAGAAGTGGCAACTTAGACACTTTGGTTGATAAAAGAATGAAATAAAGCCATGGATGTATCATAATTCCTTATCCAAAAGGCAAGGAAGTAAAGTCATGCACTAGCAAGAAGTGGAGTTGTAATAGGGAAGCTTTGTGATGGGGTTTATGAGGTCCTAGGAATGATCTGTAAAAAGCTTATGGCTTTATAGGTCTTGGTCTGTCAGCTTGTGGCTGTATGCGCTTATCTTGTAATCACCCTTCATTTCAAACAACCTTGAAATGCTAGGGACTGCCTTTTCCTTCTACCACATTAGTGCCTGTTTGGGAGGGATTCTGGGACACAGCTTCTTGCGTTCTGGGCTGGGTCCCACACGGAATTCATAAAATCTGTGTTTAGTGAAAATCCGGAAAGCCAATATTGGCATTCCAAGCACAAGAAATACAACTGTAAACTGAAGCTATTCCAGGAAGCTTGTCCACAACACGGGTGCTCAACAACCACAGCTCAATCAAAGCAACTCACTTCCAACGCAGAAGCCCTCTCAAATGGGCTCTTAATAAAATGTAGTTGCTGTTACTGATAAAAGAAGCAAGTGAACTTTTGATTGGTGGAACTGTGGAGAAAAATGAACGAAAAGAATATCTTTGTTAGTGGATTTCTTGAGTACGGTAGTTGCAATTTGCATTTGTTTACTGTCATTTTACACCCTATAGATTTTTAGAATCTCAGGAACAAATTGACTAGAAGTTTATTTTGTGTCATCTTAGTTTAACAAGGCTAAGCGTTTTTCTTTTGTTTGATTGCTTTTGGTTTGGAGTTGTATTTGGGTGTTTTTTTTGTTGTCTTTTCTGTCAGGTGGCTTGTTTTGCTTTCCTTGTAATCTTCTTTTTCTCTTAATGAATTTTATTTTATTACCAAAAAATGTTTCTCTTACTTAAGCTATTCAATATTTATAACTCAAATAGAAAATACTGATATTAACCTCCCTTAATCCCACCCTAAAAAGGCATGAACTCTTTGATTTGCAAGTTCTGTCAACTTGCTTTGTTCAGATCTCTGATAATTGGTCCGTCCACTATTCTAGTTCTTCTGGGGCCTAATAGCAAATCAAAGAGTGTGTATTATCTTAATTCTTTGTTCTCCTCTGTCCATCTTTATTCCTTATAAATGGAGATACATTTATCAAGTGTCAATGAATGAAGCCTTTTTTTCTTTACTTGTTGTTCCTTTTTTGTTTTTTTTTTTTTTTTATATCCCTTCTTTAAGGAATGATATTGCCAAAGCATAACCTACAGGACTGGCATTGGTGCCAAAACCAAGTTTTAAGAATAAAATGTCCTTTTTATTGGAGAAATCTGGCATTTCTTAAATGAATCTGCCCATAAAAGAGAAGATATTTGGTTTTCAGTTAACCCAATTATTTAGCAACATTCAGTCAGGTCTGATGACTTACGCCTTATGGAGGATCAGTTTTCTTAAGAATTCACCTGTATAGCACACTTCAAAGCTTTGCTGCTCCTTGGTTCAAGAATTTTCTTTTGTTCACTTGACAAGCAACTTCTTTTTCTCATTTGACTCTGATGAAAGTGTATATCCCACTGAATTCATCCAGAGCTCTTTGGAAAATGGACTAAACTTCTGAGGAGCCCCAAAGACGCATTTAACAAATATGAGATGGGATTGATGAATTTAAATGAGTGATCTCCAGCTACGTTATTATTGTTTATTTAACTTGCTTCTTCTGATCATAGATAATATGAAATGCCTAGTTTGCTGATGTCAATTCTTCTCATCTACATTCATCAAAAATTCTTCTCATCTACCCTTATGATTAATTCTTATAGTTGACCTTTGGTGGATTGAATTCATTATTTTCTATTTTCTCAGCTATTATAGTTTTGATTTATCCTTTGACAATAAAGGTTATTTACTCTCTCTCTCTCTTATTTATGGACGAGCATAGAATCTTGAGGTTTACAGGTAAGGTGATGGCAGGCAAAGCAGCAAAATCTGTGGTGAAGATGGTAACTGAGTATCAATACCCATGGCGAGAAAAGTTGGCAAAATACAAAGATGAGCTATCTAAGGGTGTTTGGGGTTACTGGGAGTTAGGGGCATGGAAGCCGCTTGGTATTAGTGCTCGTCGTAGGGCACGTCTCCGCAAAGAAGTCCTCCTAGCTGGAGACGATTGGCCATATGACCCAGAGAGGAAAGAGATGAGGAACAAGAGGAAAGGGCATAAGTGTGACAGAGTATCTGCAGAAAAGAGAGCAAATACAGCTGAGTTGATGAAGAAAATGCCAGAAATGTTATTGGATTACAAGAAGCGCAGGTGGGAAAAGAAGATGAAGGAAGAGGATGCAAAAAATTAACTCGCCTTTCTGTTTTTCTTTCCTTCATGAACATAAACAAGTTTTTGTGGTGAACACTTAATAACTTCAGGTTGCGAACTTAACTGGAAAACTCTACATTTGGAGCTACTGCCGATTTCATGTAATTTTGGATTCAAAAAATAAAAAGAAAAAATACCCACCAAATGAACTATGTATGTTCCCATGAATAGGCTAGGTCGTAGGCCAAAGGGCTCATTTAATGTAGGTGGGTAAAAGATGAGAAACATGAGAATTGGTCTATTCCCTATATTTGATTCAGGCAGGAATCGGGATCAGTTACAATGAATTCTCATTCTTAAGGGAGGGGGAGGGAATGGTCAACAGTTGGAATGGGAATGAAATGTTTCAATTCTGATTTCAGACTCCTATATTAATAGTAGTAAGAGGGTTTTAGATGATTATAAACCACAATGTTTTTGTTTGAAAATTAATATATTGAATGATTGAAGGGGAAATTTGAGGTATTTTAAAGGTAATGGGTTTAAAATTGTTAGGCTGTTTCGACCAGAGCTGGTTTTAGTGGCTTAAGTTGAAAGTAAAACCAATTTCAGCAAATAATTCAAATAAAGATATGCTTCTTTCCATCTTCAGTGCTGCTCCTTTTTGAGTGAACTGAAGAGAAAAATGACATTGTGATTTGTGGCTTCAGTGTTTTTGAATTTTGTTAAGATGGCGCTTGATAGCTGCTCAAAGGAGGTTTTTGGTTCTCTGGCGGTCTGGCCCTAAGACGCTCAACACCATTTTTTCCAACACTGAATCTTTTAGGGAGTATTTGTCAACGTGTATGATTTTGATTTTCAATAAAAAAAACTGCTACATCAGCAAAAAATACAATAATTTTTTTAATATAGCAGTTGTTTTTATTTTGAAAAACAAAACCAATCATGTATTTCAACCGAGCATTGCTACTTGCTACTTGCTACTCTTTTATTATATATATTATTATTTTATTTGTTTATCATCTATACGGATATTTGCATTATATTTCATGCAAGTCACAAAAATTAAATTCAATTACTATATATCATATATAATTAATATTTGTACACTAGCGGCATGTACTTTTATACTAGTTTTTTATAATTCAAACATAATTCCAATTATACTCTTTCGCTTAAATATGGAAGCTAGGACTGCAACTTGGGCTGAGTTACCTCAAGCCCAACCTCAACCCTATTAAGAAAAGTCAGGTTGGGCTTATATTCATGTTAGGGTTCGGATTGAAACGTATGAACCTGGTTAAGCTTCAGGTTGGGTTAAGATTGAGGCTTTCTCAATCTAAATCTAATATTTGTTTGTATAAATATCAAATAAGTACTTTTGTATATGTGCAACTATGTATCCATAAATGTATGCAATTATTTTTATATTTATGAAATAAAAAACATTTGAGAAGAAGAATTAGAGAAGTTGAATCAACTTGAGCCCAATCCAACCCGGAACTTTAGGTTGGGTCAGGGGTTAGGGATGGGGGAGAGCAGATTAGATGAACTCGATACCCGTTTTACATAGACTGAGATCTGAGATCAATCAATTTGCAATACACCAACCACAAATGCAAGTGAGAAAATGAGTTATTGTGAGGTGGTCAAACAGTATCCTTCCAAAAAATAAGGCACACGTTTTAACGTTTATACTCATGAAATGGAAGACCCTTTGTATTATTGTCAATGAGCCTCAAATGTACTCTGCCCTATTCCCACCCTTAAAACGGTTACATAAAAAATTGTATTTTCCTAAGGCCCAGTTTGGAAATAGTACAAATTCAAATATGTATAGTATACATACAAAATAATGCAAAATATAAGGTTTTGCACTTTACAAATTTGTATTTCTACTCTTTTAGGATCAGTTGAAAAAAAAAATATAAATACAGATATATACAATACAAATACATACAAAATACAAGGTTTTTATACACATTTGCATTTGCACTCCTTCCAAACTGAGCCTAAAAAAAGAAAAGGAATTTACAATCTTAGCCATTAAAAATGTAATATTTTTATAATAGTTAGTCAATAGAATGTTAATTATATAATTTAATGGAGACATTAATTAGTAATTAATTAACTAAAATAACATCTTAACATGAGAACTCTATTTTCCTAAACAAAACCTAGTAAAAGTGTATTAACTTGTAATTCTAGCCATTTACTTGCTGTATACTACAACATGGCATGAATCAGTCATATGAGTCCAGATATGCTCCTCACAGAGAGTGCCTCACAAGGACCTCATAGCATGTTCTGACTATACATCAAGAGCATCTATCGTACTGTATTTATTATTCATGGGGAGGTGTTCATATGATGAGATGTGGGTAGTGTTTGGCATTGATGCCAAGTCAGAAAAAATGGTGTTTCGGAAAACAACCTCTCATATTTGTCACCGTTTTTCTAAAAAAAAATATTGCTTCAGACTATGCCTTGAAAATTGAGAAAGTGTGGTATGAAGAAACACCAAATTCAATGTTTTCTCAAAAAATAAACTATTGCTACAAACGGTACAATGACATGAAATCAATGTGACATCATCTTGCGCGTTGAATAATGTAGACCAATACTGAAAATGGTTATACAACATTGGTACCAAACAAAACCAGTGCTGTTTTCCTAGAAAAACAGCTATAAGGCAGCATTATACCAAACAAAATAAGAGCCGTTTTTAAAAAAATGGTAAAACAGACCCTCATACATAAATCACCGTTTTCTTAGAAAACATCTCTGAAGCAATGACATCGGTGCCTAAACACCTATGTGGCTGTGAGGTCGGTGTGAGACACGCTTTATGAGGAGCAGATCCCAATTCGATTACAAAATTGCCATGTGGAGAACGACATGAATATCTTTGTAACTTTGTTTTATTGCTGGCTCACTTAAATCTCTTCAAGAAATTATGATTTATACGTCATAATAACCTAATCTAAAAGTTTTGGTTCTGGCCCACCGATGATGCAGGGTAAATTGGTCATTGCACATTAGACAAGCCCAACACTCGTTCTGCATGGCAATCCGTGAGGTGAGTGTAATTCATTTTCTAACCGTAGGGCCCCCATATGACCGTTGAGGTTCGTGTTTCCTTGGACACTAACGCTTGTAGGTTCTCTTCTTCATTTTTCTTCAAATGAATATGTCAAAGGTTCTATGGTGTAGTGGTTAGCACTCTGGGCGCGACCTGGGTTCGACTCCCGGTAGGACCTTTAAGAACTTTTTGCGAACTTTCATTTTGGAAAAAAAAAAAAACGTAAAAGCACTGCACGCACGCGTTGGATCATGGATAGATAGAATTTTGATGGGGTAAAGCCATAAATAGAAATAGGGAAAATTCGCAATAGGTACCATACTTATCGAGTTCCAATTTAGTATATAACTTTAAAACCTACAAATTTAGTACCTGAATTTTCATTTTGCGATAATTTAGTATCCGATGTTAATTTATCGTTAGTTAGAAGAATCACATGATATCAGATGTAGATTAAATATTTCCCTAATCCCCTTTTTTTTCAATCTGGGTTGAACGAACGAGAGAGGAGAGGAGACTTCACTCAACTCCCCCTTTAGACTTCAGTATGGGTTGAACGAACGGGAGAGGAGAGGTGACTTCATTCAACTCTGACCTTCCTCTTCATCCTGAGCACACCCATTCCATCCCTTTCTCTTCAAACATGGTTGAAGAAATGACAGAGGAGAGGAACGACGAAGAATGGTGGTAAGCTTCACACCCCTAACATTTGTCTGCCCCAACTCCCCCAACATCGCGCCCATTCCAATTTAGTATGCGAACTTTAAAATGCGACAATCTAGTACCCGAATTTTCATTTTGCGACGATTTAGTATCTGGTGTTAGCTCACTGTTAGTTAGAAGAATCACGTGATATTAGGTGCGGATTAAATATTTTTGAAATACCAAACTAACCTTTATGAAAAAATATAGACCATTTTACCCTTTTCCCTTCCTATTTCTCTAATCCCCTTTTTCTCTTCAATCTGGGTTGAACGAGCAAGAGAGGAGAGGAGACTTCACTCAACTCCCCCTTTAGACTTCAATATGGATTGAACGAACGAGAGAGGAGAGGAGACTTCATTCAACTCTGACCTTCCTCTTCATTCCGAGCACGCCCATTCCATCCCTTTCTCTTCAAACACGATTGAAGAAATGATAGAGGAGAGGAATGACGAAGAATGGTGGTAAGCTTCACCCCTAACATTTGCCTGCCCCAACTCCCCCAACATTGCGCCCATTCCAATTTAGTATCCGAACTTTAAAGCGCGACAATCTAGTACCCGAATTTTCATTTTGTGATGATTTAGTATCCGATGTTAACTCACCGTTAGTTAGAAGAATCACGTGATATCAGGTGCGGATTAAATATTTTTGAAATACCAAAACTAACCTTTATGAAAAATATAGACCATTTTACCCTTTTCCCTTCCTATTTCCTTAATCCCCTTTTCTCTTCAATCTAGGTTGAACGAGCGAGAGAGGAGAGGAGACTTCACTCAATTCCCCCTTTAGGCTTCAATATGGATTGAACGAACGAGAGGAGAGGAGACTTCACTCAATTCCCCCTTTAGACTTCAATATGGATTGAATGAACGAGAGAGGAGAGGAGACTTCATTCAACCCCGACCTTCCTCTTCATTCCAAGCACGTCCATTCCCATCCCTTTCTCTTCAAACACGGTTGAAGAAATGACAGAGGAGAGGAACGACGAAGAATGGTGGTAAGCTTCACCCCTAACATCTGTCTGCCCCAACTCCCCTAGCATCGCGCACAGACTTCATCTATAGCCATCTTGCTGGACGCATCAAAGATGGTCGGACCAAGTTTTAGCTTCAGAACCGCGCACAGTTCTGATTTGAAAATGTTTTGGCAGAATCTGAACCAAAAGGTGGTTCTGATCTGAACCATTTTCAGATGAGAACTGTGCGCAAAATGCTTCATCGGGAAATATGCGCAAAATAACCGAATTGTGTGCAAAATAACCAAAATCTTGTCAAGCGAATGCCATCACTAGAACCAAATCATAATTGAATTCGAACTTTGAGGGAAGCTCGAATTAGTTATTCGTTTACGAGCTTGACTCTTGAGTTGGAATTGGATGGAAATAACAAAACTCAGTCCCGACCCAATTAACTGGAACCAAAATTAATGACATAATGGAAAATGTTGTATCTTATCCTCTTTGAGTAAGAAATGAGTGGTTTTAGGAATTGGGATCTCCTCACATTCATATATCACCGTATTTTTGGAACATTTCCCATAGTGCGGGAGATATTCCAAATGTGCGGTTCGAGAAGATTGCTTGGCATTTGTTCGGATTCGGAGTGAGTGTCCCAACTCCTTATGATTAGATTGCTTAACCAGTGTGTATGCTCGGGAGTTGGTTTTCATGTCCAACTTGGATGCAAAACGCGTTTCAATGTTTGCAAGAAAGAAGAAGTGGATAACATGTAAACTTTCTAATTCCACTCTATATAAGTATATGAATGTAGAATCACCATCATTGGTTGCAGTATCAAAGCTTCTAAGCATCAACTCAAGAATTTTCTACTTAATTCTTTTCTTTGTAGGTCATAGCTGATAGTGTCTGTCTCTTTTAATTTCTCCTCTACTTTCTTTCCTTGTTACAGGAAAAATTAATGGGTTCTACTAGCAATGGTGTAACCCCAATGGGATACAGGTTCTTTCTGACCAAATCAGAATTCGTCTGCCATTACTTACAAAACAAGGTTGTCGAAAAGAGACTTAGTTTAGATGTTGTGGTGGAAGTGGACGTGTACGATATTGAACCCCAGTTTCTTCCATGCACGGATGGTGGTGGCGAGGAGATCAAAGAACACTACTACTTCACGTACAGGTCAAAGAAGTCAGAGAATGGATCATGGCCAAATCGGGTGGTCAAGAACCCACGAGAAGGAGGAGGGTTTTGGAAGGAACCACGACAGATGAGGAAATCTACGAGAATGGAACGTTGGTGGGACAGATGAAGACGCTCGTGTTCTATCAATTCAATGGTGAGAAAAAAAGTAGCAAAGATGCAACCAAGACGAGCTGGACCATGTATGGATACAACCTCATCAATAATGTTTAACCGTTACAGTTCGAACATTGGGTGCTTTGTGGAGTCATCCATCACAAGAATAATAATCTGGGTAAGCAATATGATCAGAAAAAGAAAGTCGCCAATATGGTTTCTGATCGTGATCAGTCTTTGGAAACACGTAGAAGCCAGTCGGTCCAAGAATTTTGAGAATATCCAACTGTGACAGTGGAGAATCAAGAAACTCCTATATTTGTCATAGAACCTCTGAATGTCTATGCACAAGGCCAGCAGAACCAGTTTGAAGAGTGGACTACGTGCAGTTGAAGGGCTATTTGGTAGAGGGCTACGTGCATGCGATGACTCAATCACCCAGGTTGTTGATCATGATCATCATCAGTTGCAAATGAGGAAAGAGGTTCTGAGCATGCCTATGCCTGGACCTTCTTCTTCTTTACCAACTTCAGGAACATAATAGAACCATGATCTCCTCTTCTTACTTGGAATTGATGATGATCTTTATAACTTTCAATGGGACAAGGAAAACTTATCATTGTCGGATGCATTTGATGATGATTAGGAATTCATCACTTCCATCAAAATAACCGAGCTGTGCACAAAATAACCAAAATCTTGTCAAGCGAATAGCTGATGGAATTCATGCATTGCTCGAAATAGCTAATGGGTAATTAGGTCTTTTTGTCTTCTAATTGACGGTGAGTTAATGTCGGGTACTAAATCATTGCAAAATGAAAGTTTTGGTACTAGATTGTCGCATTTTAAAGTTTGGGTACTAAATTGGCACTTGGCCTAAAGTACATGGTACCTATTGGGAGTTTTCCCATAGAAATACCTCCCGTGATAAAAAAGCATGCAAGTACAAAGATATTCCCAATGCATGGCTGTAAAAGTTGTGAGAGCAGTGTGAGCATTGAATCCATTTATGTGAATATGGGTGCAAGTTGGGTGGGCTGGGCTGGGTTTTAGCTCAACCCATACCCAACCCTAAGAAGTGAGCCTAAAGCCCCAAGTTGGGCAATTAACCCATACTGAAAATTGATATACGCATGTATATGTATGCATGTATGCATATATGTATATTAACAAAAATATGCATATATGCATGCAAATATGTGTCTATTTATGCATATATACATGTATATAATTGGCATGGGCTTAAGTTGGGATAAGGTTAGGCCGGGTTCGAGCTCCTAAGGGCTAGGCCCAAGCCTAATTAGAAAAATTTAAAAGCCCAAACTTTTGGGCACAAACCTAGCCCGAGGACTGAAAATTTAAGTCTAACCCATGTAAAATTGTGGGTTGGGTCAGTTCGGGCTTAGGATGGGTCTACCCAAGTTTCACCTCTGGCCATGAAAGGTACAACAATGCACATCCATGGACCCATGGTGGAACCCAAATTTCCTACTCACTTTCACAATACATTTCACAATACACTGCAGCCACACAATTTACAATACAAGATGACGATGTGTGGTTGCAACTCAAGGCGGGTAGTGTGAGTAGAGAGAAGTGGGCAGGAAATCCGATTAGAGGAGGGGAAAGGGCAGTTCAGATCTCCTACCCACACCTCATTATAATGCACAATGAGAACATTTCCCATATTTGCATGTTGCCATGCATGGGGAGATGTTCCCTCATACATTTGTAGTGTCATGTGGATAGGAGATCTGAATTGGGGAAAGGGGTGGAGGTTGTTCTTAAAAAGAGCGATCGACCATGTGTTCCTCTTAGGTACGTATCTTTGCCTCTATAGTCGAAAATGTTTTTGGTTTCTATAGGCTTCCTCTCAAGTTTGTATCTTTGCCTCTGTAGTATTTCTCTCTGGTGTTAATCGGAGCATTTGTCAAATTGGGTAGTGTTTCGCTTGTATGTTTTAATTTGTTTTGCTTTCAGTTTGTTTTTGTTCTACCATCTTTTTTTTTTCTTCTGCCTCTGAGTGTTTATAGTCCCCTTTTCTCTTAGGCTGCGTTAGAGGTGTAAATACATATTTACACCGTTGATGATTGAGGCTCCAATCCAATTAACGATGTAAAATGGAACCGGTGCCTTGCTGGGATTTACTCTATTGTCGTTTGGCACTCATGGCGTGAAAGTGTGGATGCAAAATTGTAGGCATTTGGAAATAGAGGACTGTGAGAAGAAGAACAATGGTGTAAATGCATATTTACTTTGTTGAATGTCGGTGTTGATGTCTTTGGGACTAAATCAATTTCTACAAACAGAAAGTAAAATTTAATTGAATAACGAAGCAAAACCAAGTAAAAACAAGTATTCCTACTTCAGAGAAAATGATTTGGGTTTCCAGCAGCAGAGCTGAGAGGACCTTCAACAATCTTAAAAGGGTTTTTAAGGACAGAAGGAAGAGGTAGAGAATACTTTAGGCAATGTGTCTGAACTTTGCTATAGACTCAACAAAATGGTTGAGACTGAGTGCTAAAACAGGCTTTCCGATAGAGGCGTTGCTATTAGGGATGACCAAAGGAGATGAAGGCATGATTAGCATGGATCATGAAGAGAAACCAAAAAACAATAATGACAAAGATTTGTCTGTCTCACACACGAATCACATCGCTCCTCTCATCCTTGAGCAGTGAAATCGCCCAGATGAAGACCTCCTCATGTGGTGGAAGTGGCACAACGACAACTTCTTCCTCTTTCTTCTCTGGTTTAGTTAGGGTAGCAAGGGCTTCTTTGACTACTTTTTCGGCTTCCGCTGTATTCTTTGGAGAAGAAGAGGAGATCGCCACGATGGTTTCTTTAGTGGCGTAGATCTGAGACTGATAGACATCCCTTACTTAGATCCAGTACCAAAATCTTGTAGAGCAGGCCATTTTATGGTGGAAGAGTCATCATACCTGCGTCGTCGCCGAGAGGGAATGTCGGTGCTATTTGACCATTGCAGTGATTGAGAGGAGGTGCGAGTAGGGAGTTTTACACCGATAGAAAAGATGAGTTTTATATCGATTTTATTAGTGGTAACTTTTCACTAAATTTTGATGTAAAACTTGCCTAGAGCGGAGTTTTACACTGATCTATGATGTAAATCAACACCTTAACCAAATATTAGCAAAAATCGGACCGAAGTGTAAAGTTTACCCCGATTCTCATTTACATTTTAAACAAACATGGCCTTAAGCTTTTTGGAGTTTTTGTGAAAGATTTTTATTTTTATTTTTTAATAATAAGAGATAAAAGTTACACAACACGAGGGAACACTCTCTTGACCAAGCCTAGAAGGAGATGAAGTGAAGATCTCAGGGGAATTCTTGGAGGAAAACCTCAAACCTTATTTGACCCTTATTTGCTAGCCAGTTCGTAGCATAGTTGCCTTCTCTATACATGTGAGCATACTTGATTCTTCGAGGAAGACTCCTAGCAATGGATTTGCAGTCGTCATACAGATGTTTGCATCTCCAAGGGGGATGTAGCTTTGTTGAAGAATTCCAATTGTTGTCAGGGAATGAATCTCCTATCATTATTGGGGCATAGTTGAAGCTTTTTAGGCTAATTCGTGGGCTTCAAAAGCAGCCAACAGTTTTGCTACTATGGTTGAGGCTTGCCCAATGGGGCCCATTTTTGCTATAAGAATTTTACCTGTATGATCTCTATCTATGCAAGCAAAGTCACACTCACCATTACCTATTACCTTTTAGGTAGGCATCAAAATTAATGTCAATTTCATTTACTAGAGGTGCGTTCCATTTTATCCTCACTACGTTTTTTGGAGCCTCTTGTTTTTTCCACCTTATCCTGAAGCAAAGCCTCCAAGAGCTCCTTCAAGCCTTCCATTGCTTTATTAGCAATTTGCAGTAGTTCGGAAGATTTATTTGTTTTGTAAAAAGGGGAATGCATTAATAATAAAACCAATACAATATCATTGAGCTTGCTAGATGGGGTTTGTCTGATCCAGATTAGCAATCCAATATGGGCAATCAAAAAGAAAGAGACCCATATCCACAAAATCCCGTTGGGCCAGCTTGTGCGCTGCACTGTTACACTTTCTGTTAATGAAATTAAAGGAAAATTCTAAGCTCGTTATAGCAGCAAAGATGTCTTTCACCAAAAGAGAAACATCGACTGAAAAGTCTTGAGTCTTTTCCTTGAGAGCACGAACAAGTGACTGGCAGTCTGTCTCAATGACACACCTTTCAATCCCAGCAAACTTGGCTAGGATAATACCCTGTTTAACTGCAAAAGTTTCTGCTTGGAGGGCTGGTGAAACAAAAATTGATCCAAAACAAGCTGCAATGCTATGTCCGGGACTGTCTCTGACTATTACACCAAAACTACCTTTGTCATCTTTAAAGCCGCCATCTGTATTAACTTTAAACACTGTTTTCCGGTGATTGCCAAAAAGGGAAAACTTCCTGTCGAGCTTTAGATGCACTTGTACCTCTTGAGCAGGGCTTTAAAGTCTCTGTCATGAGCTGCAATTTCCTAGTCACATTCAAGATAATGCTATTAGCTGAATTGTTTACTTCATTAAAGATAGTGGAATTCCTACCAAATATTGCAAAGTAGATAAGCAGTTGTTTGGAAAAACCACACTTTGTTTTCATCTGACTGTGCATAGGTTTCCAGCCATTCAAAGAGCCAAGTATCAAAGGTCATATTTGTTGGGTACCTCTCCATGTTAGTCCCAAAACAACTTACAAACCAAACTTTTTCTAGGGGAATCACACTGACAAAGAGCATGGAAGATAGTCTCCGGCTGTTTGCCGCACAACCTGCAAAGGTTTGTAGTTGTAAGTTTCCTCTTGAACAAATTGGATTGGACTGCAATGGTGTTTTTACAACATCTCCAAAGGAAATTCTTAACTTTGGGTTCCACCGGGAGGCCCCAAATTTTGTTCCGTTAATGGGGATTCAACTGGCTTTGGGTGGGGCCGTGGGGGAGAGGATTACAGCATTGACAGTTTGTTGTTT